ATTAAAATGAAAATGAAATAATTAATTGGAAGCATAAGAGATATTCCGTTACAATAAATATACCAGCATTAATATTATTGGCTAGTGAATATCATTAGTGTCGTTAGAAATGAATTTAGAAATCGAAAGAAAAAAAATGTGTACTATATAATATCTTGACTAATATAGTTATAAGTTAAAAAATTGCTGGATAATAAAAATATCGATATTATCCAAAATAGACCTTCAAACCTAAGGCAGACATTTATAAACAGTATTACAACAACATAGACCAGCGCAATTTTGGATCACAACATGATTTTTGCAATTTAAAATCTTAATAGTCATTATCAATATTATCCAAAACGTGCCTTAAAGTCTGGGGAAATAAATAATATTACTTGAACTAATATAATTATAAATTAGATAATCATTGAAAACGAATCTTGAAAATGGAGAAAAATATAGATTGTGCAGATCAATGAGACGAACGTAATTATAAAATAGAGAATCATTCTCTGTTATTTGATAATCAATATATCGAATTGATCTAAAATGAATCTTAAAATCAAAGGAAGACATACGGCGCAATATAATATACTAATACAATTGTAGGTCAAGAATCGCTTTCTATAAAGAAGTGATTTATTTGTTATGGTAACATTAACTTGATTATATAATAATTAATATGCCACATGGAAATTTACACGCCAATTATTATTGATCATAGCTTATAATTACATCCTATCAGGCAGATCTATTATCGCAATATGAATCAAGCTGAGCTATAAAGGTAATAATGTATAGATAAAATTATATTTGCTGCTAGATAATGACATAACCAAATATTTGGCAAGTATCTATAATATGTCTCCTTGCTACTTGATCAATTTATTTTATTCAATCCCTTGCCATACCGAGGCAGAATAGCTAAACAATACTTTTTAAATAGTAACTATAACTATATCCTACTCTATTATAAAGCAAATTGATTCATTTGGAAACGATAATTAGACTAGCCATGATGTAGCCCTGTTCACAGTCCATGATAGCAATATGTATTAGTTTCAGTTAATTACAGTAGTAATTGAAGTACGGTAGCATTAAGAAGTAAAATAGTCTACTATGCTTATGATCTTGTGCCAAATTAGATATTTACTCAACTTTAATAACTCAGATTATGAGTTAGACGATTGCGAACCTAAGGGGTTGTAAACCCGAGCACTAAACAACGGTAATCCGTTATCAGTATACCATTAAGTTATAATGGGGGAATATCGAAATAGGACAAAGAAAAACAATCTAAACGCAAATAAAATTTACTAAACACAAATAAAATTTACTAAAGACCATCTATATGTAGCCATTATCTAGTCTTAATTATTGTTTATAACACCTGTATAGCCATCTATTTTCTCAACTGACTCAACCGTCATCGGCATTTTGCAGAAGTACGTAAATTCGTTAAAACATTATTCCTAATACTCCAAATGAACCGAAAACGAAATTTTAGTACACCTATAAAATTTATGAGAAGGGTATTAACTTGAAAACCAATACAAATCAATCAAAGGGAATAAACATCATTCGTATTTAACTTCTGCCCTAAGGCTTCATCATTGAACAATGCCGACGCAAAATGCAATAATGCCTTGCTTGATCAATGGTTAATTTACCTCACCAGTAGAACGAGATTATTTACAATCTTCTATCTATTCTTGTCAAGCTATACTTTTTATCAGCAATTATAAAGGACTTGAGCTTTGAAATAGAGATAGAATGGCCATAAGCATTAAGAAAAGCAATTTCAACAAGATAAAAAACATACGTACGTAAGATGATCATAATAGATGCATTAATTCGCAGTAGGAAATGTCCCAGCATGACAACACGTTACAAATTAAACTGTATACAGGAATTATGGTTCGGGGATTGTTATTCTAATGAGGCTAATTCAACAGACTTATTGTCTGTTCGATTCAAATAAGAACTAGAAAATATCAGGACATCGCGAATAAGATAGAGAAAGGGAAAGCAATTCTAAGTATAATTTTTTTTAATCAAAGATCCAAAAGGTAGACCGCTGTGATTAGGATAATTTTACTCATATACTATCATTTCTCGCTTTCCTATAAATTTGCTAAAGCCTATCGGGATTTTAAGTGTTTCATCCTACCAATAAACGGGTTGCTACCGATACTAAATTGCATCAACTGGTTTAAATTATCATCTTTGTCAATGTAATATTACTGCTTTCTGTCTCTTAAATTAATTATATGATATCTTTATTTCATAGAGTATTCATCGGCAGTGGAATAAACTCTTATTTACAGCATCATTAACATATCGTTGCCAAATCAACTCTTTTTTACTGAATCTGCTACCTCTGCGTAAAACTACCGTAAAACACTTAAATCATTATTTTCATTAAGATATAATTTTTCTTTTCTTTCATTGTTTTAGCAATGTCTTTCTTTTAGTATGCTATCGCCGTTCCCTAAAGAAGATTTTCCCTTCTACCTACCTGATGATACGTAATATTTAAATTAATTCTACAAATATTGTTTTGTTATTGCTCTTTTCTTTCAGTAGATGAGAAATCCAACATGTGACATTTAAGTTAATTGTCTTTAATAGAATAGATTCGCCATGATTATATAAATCAAGAGTATGAACAGCAGCTTTGTTTCTATTTTGTTGCAATCCTTAATGGATTATAAACTACATTTATTGTTTATTATGTAGCACATAACAACAATAATATTTAGACGCATCCAACAGCATTCGTGAAGTTAAAATATAGAGCAATGAATGGCATCAATGTGTTAAGCCGATCGTTACAAGGCATACCGCATCATGAGTGTTTCTAATTGTAATCGTCAAGTTGTGCGTAACTGTAGTAAAGGTTGCGGTAAATTCAATCAGTATAGATATTTCTACATAGTCAACTTACGGTATCTTAGGATAAATATCTGACAGTAATTTTGTATGAACAGTATGCTTTCTATAATGCTATGTATGGTAAGTATCTAAGGAAATTATACTTGGAAATTAAATAGTCAAGTAATGGCATGATTGCCTACGTTAATAAAATGATTATTTTATGACAGTGTTTAACGATTCTACGTTGTTAGATAGGAATATAGGATGCTCGTATTACTCTAGTAATATATATAAACAATTCTAAATAGTGACAATGGCCTTTAACTGGATCTAGGATAAACATTTGACAGCTATTTCGCAAATAGTATGCATTCTATATTGCCATGTATAGTAAGTGTCTAAGGAAATTACATTTAAAAATTAAATAGTCAAGTTATGGCACGATGGCCTATGGCATCAAAATAATTGCTTTACGATAGCATTTAACGATTCTACGCTATAAGATAGGAATATAGGATGCTCTTATTACTCTCTAGCAGTATAAACTATTTTAAATAGTAATAATGCGCTTTTACTAGAAGTTTGATAGACTCCTTGATAAAATTACTATAAAGAGGATGTGGTTACCATTATTCAATTTGAAATATCTCTAATATGACAGACTTATTGTGAAGTGGAATGTAGGTATAAATATGCTAGAAAGCTCGATCAAAAGTAAATAGATCAATATTATAGTGCGATAGCCTACACGAATAAAGTGATTATTTTAAGATGTTATTTAATGAAACCGGGGCAGGGATTGGAATACAGTATGTCGCTGTAACATGTACCGTTTTAGTAAATTGTAATTTATTCCGAGTAAAAGGTAATTCATTTTCATGGTTAAGTTATGGCCATCAGACATTTTACTAGTGTTAATAACACAAGGTGAGAGTATGGATCTAAAAGCTTCATATAACGTGAGAATTAGCAACGATAACAAACGACAATACTTTACGAACTCATGGATTATTGTTTCTACGAATTACTACAATATTTATAAGACTAATCTCAAGCAATTTATGGGCTTAATATTTGCTAGCACACCCTTCACTCCTAATACTTGCCTAGTCTATACTTGCGCTTCTTACTTTAGTATGTACTGAAAAGTACACACATGGATAAAATTATTTTAATATAATAGATTTCACATACGTCTATTATACTTGCCTATACGAAATACTATAAATACGGTACCAAAGTATTGCACTTATCAGAAAGTAAATTACGAATCTGTTCGATTGATATTATATCTTATTTAATAGTTAATTACAGTAGCAAATTAGGATAGTATATAACACTTAAAGTAGTACTTTATTCTATTTCTATCGTTATCAGGTTATAGTTGTTATAATGTCAGTAATTGAAGTTATTAGTTAGAAATCGATATCCATATACCTGCATAATGATTTAAACTATAAATATTTGCTAGAATAATCCTGTTACTTTGCTGACAGTGATCTTGTAGTTCATTCTTTCATTCATTCCCTACAACCTCATACTAGCCCAATTTCTACAGTGAAATTCTACTAGAACTGAAAAATTAGTAAATTTTAGCTAGCAATTCCATAAATAGATTGCTTTTCTATTTTTGTGTTTTCGTCAGGCAATATCGATCTGAATTTTCCAGTTGTTCGGTTCAATAAAAAAATGATACAATCTATGATAGATTCGCTACTAGAGTATTCAACCAGAAGTCACCACGTAGTCTTGGTACTGAAGGACATTGAGAGTAATTCATAGCAATTTTACGGATTTATATACTTGATAAGTTTTACTCCCTTCTAGACATAAAGCACGGTATCGGTTAAACTGGTGATTAAATCAGGTTTGACAAGCAACCTATTTGATGGCAGATACAGTCGTATAATTTTCGCTCGGCTATTGCATCCAATGATAGTTCTAAAATTCAAGATTATAATTGAATTATTGTAAACTTATGGGAAACTAATTGCAATACCATACCATCAAAAAACTGATAATCGAATTGTAACATTATTTATATGAAAACTTATGTTGAGCGGTTTTAGTTTATTTTACCCCATGACAGACACAACGTCCAATAGAAATATGAATTAGTTAAATAATCGTAGAAGCAGTTAATACATGTGCGTCATCATTAATAACAAGAGATTTAATACCTTCAAAATTATTAATATAATATTGATAATATTATATTTAACACTAAGGCTAAATTTATATATTACTGTTGATGAATAGCCGAATTAAAACATTTTATACATTAAAAAATAGCAAATTATGAAATCAATAACAATACCACGGTAAGAGTTTTAAGAATGTAATATTATTACAATTAATTAATAAAATATCAGATAAAAATAAACTGGAGCAATCATGTCCATGCAATGTAACGTAACCTTTCTATCACTATACAGAATATATATATACAGTTGCAATATTTTGTAGTTACTAACAATACGCAGTATAAATCCAGCTATTTCACCGTTATTATTACAATTTCATTTCTTGCAATACATTACTATTGACTTAACTTAGTTAACTATTAAATACCTAACAGCACTAATAAGCTGTCATGGCTGGTTTCTAGCAACATAATTAAATAGAATATATTTAGGATTCATAAAATCTTAAATATAGAATTTTGCTTGTTACCAACATTATTGTTGTACAGTATATCTAAGGTATCGTTAATAAATCTTTTACGAAATGAAATCTGAAATACAGGTACTTTATGTAAGATCTCAATTACTTACTCATATGCTACTACTCCGCATGGATCACTACTAATAATACTACTACTGACCTATTACTAAATCTCTGATGTAATGATATACGAACAGATTGAGCAAGTAAAATTTTTGCATTCTTGACATGATCCTATAATATTTCTCAATCCATTTAAAAATAACACAAAGCACTCCCTAGGATTTCTAAATTCTAGCATAAAATAATCACAATAAAATAATACAGTTTCAGAAATGCAGCCGAATTAGAATACTAAGATATATTTGCCAACATTGGCTGCACTTAGGCAATAACATATACTGTAGAAAAATCCCTTTCGATATAGGAGGGTTAAAGTTGAAATGATAAGACTCCACACCATTTCCTTTACAAACACACCCAATCACTCTCATCGACGTCTATCTCGTTATCTAATGAATGACGCAGAATGTCAATTTCACGACGAATTAATATTCCATCCTTATCAATACCCCACAATTCATCTAACGGCGTAGCAGAAACTCTGCTAACATTTCCAGGCACTTTTTTCCAATAATCACCAGCGATATTATTTGGCGTAATTCCATAGCGACAGATCAAGCTACCATCGGGACAAATGGCCCATATAAACCGGTTACTGATAGTTAGGGCCACAGCTGAAGCTCCTATTTTAACATACATAAATGACTGCTGTATTACAGAACTCTAGTTATAACTATCATAATAAATGATAACATATTAAAATTGATTACAAATCAAATTTAGGATCGATAATTCTTACCTTGCACTTGCTCCCATGATTCTCCTATCGGAAATTCAGGTCGAATGCCAGTACGTACATAAATATTATTCTTATTATCGCACGTCCATACCATCCAATCTCCAGGACTTGTGTATATTTGTACAAAATGACAGCTATGTGGCAATTGACTGTCAACTGGTATCCAAGCTGGTGTTGTAGAAATGGATGCTTGTAAATCAGCAACTCCAGTTCGATACCAAATACATCCATTAATATCAACGGCCCATACACTAAAAATTCCGCAAGAGACACTAACCATGGGGACATTGCCTAATTGAAAAAGATCCACGATATTCCATTCATCGCCTTGCCGATAGTGTTTCGTAATGTTCTTTCTTACTAATAATTTCCCATCTTTACTAATAGCCCAAACACCTTCAGCAGACGAACAGATTTCTTTAATCGAAATTGGTGCCTTAATATTACTTAGCCTATTTTGGCCTAGAAAGATAAATTTAAGAGTCAGTTATTTTAATATTATATCACTATTATTAAAATTTTGTTAATTAAAATGATATCAGTTTCATACGCGTGGTTTATTAATTCGATTATACCGTCAATTGTAAAAACTTCATCACTTTGTTGCACCACCCAAATTAGACCAGCATCATCGCCATAAGATGATGCCGACACTAACTTAAAGGGAGTTGACTTTGCAACTCCAACAAGATTCGATGGTCCCCAAAATGTTCCAGTTAAATTTCCATGTGCAATATACATGTTATTATTATAGCTTAGGACACATAGGCCGGAACCAGGTGTACAGACAACAGCTTTCGCTTCATTCTTTTTGGCAAAAGTAGATATGATTGTATTTATTATAGATGCTTCCTGGTTCACTTGATAGGTTCCAAAAGAAATTTGATACCATTTATTTTCGCCAAATGGATTTTCAGCCGTAACACCTTTACGATAGTAAATGTCACCGTGGCAATCAATAACCCAAGCGAGTCGGCGTTTGAAGTCTTTCAAACTGATATAGGTTACCTTCAGGTTTGATAATTTTGCCCATGAATCGCCGACGAGAACATCCGGTGTTACATTCAATCTTACCATGATGTAACCATTTCGATCAATTGCCCAAACAATATTATTGTTGCAAGCAACCATAACAACACCGGTTTTCGTGGGAACTCTATTCCATAAAACGCCACCAGGTTGTAAATCCGAAATACCTAGTCTAACAAGGCAAAGATGCTTTCGTGTAGCAGCCCATGCACAACCATCACTAAGATCAAGTTGCGTAATTGAATCGATATCATCTGTTAAGAATGACCACGCCTTTCCAATTGGTACGCCTGGCCTAACAATTCCGGTCCGATAACCCACTTTTCCACGACTTGTAACACACCAAATAGTGTCACCGCTAACGGAAGTAGCAATTTGAATAGCATTTCCATCTATTCTATGCCATGTACGATTTGCAGCATCTGTGGGCATGTAGTAAATACGTTCACTTTTATCGCAACACCAAATCAAGCTATTTGATGACGTAATGTAATTCATAGGTGCGAAAGTTTGCTCCAGATAGTTTCCTCCTGGCCCAGGATATTCAGACCAAGTATCGGCAATAGAAGGAACTGAAGATGAAGCAATATTGTGTTCACTTTGCGGACTTTCCTTCGGCCTTGCGATAGCTGTATTTTCCTTATCCTCACGGGGGCTTCCAGCGCTGATAATATCAGGCTGCTGTTTTACACTTTCATCGCTTTTATCCTCCTTAACACTTGTATCAGTATTAATTGTTGCAGTACTCAGTATCACGTTGCTGCAATCATCTGCATCCAAAGTAATATTACGTTCTGGAGCTTCAGCTTCAGGGGAACTACGTGAATCTATGATATCGTAAGTATTAGCTATCGCATTATTCTCTGATAGATTATTATCTTCGGTCGATTCTTTCTTTATCGTAGCTAAATCTTCATCATGATCTTTGTTACATACTTTCGACTGTAATTCCTTATCAGAATGTGTCTTCATAACTTCTGTAGTACTTGCATTCTTATCGCAAGATAGGGGGTTTACTTCAGCGGTTATACAATAATTATCGTTGTTATCAACCATTTGAGAAACAACATCGATAGATAAATGAGAATCTGTATCTCGTTTATAGATTTCTTCACGCGATGTAACATTATTTGTATTGCTGAAGTTAGATCCGTCAGGTTGAGCTAAGTTGCTAAGCTTTGATTCACTTTCTTTAATGTCAATTGGATTTAATTCGTCATCATCTGTAGGCATGTTAACATCCATGATATCGCCTAACTGTTTAGTGGTATCATTCAAGTTGTATTCCTCCTCTTTTAAAATATCACTAACACTGGTTTCCATTATTTGCAAATTTTTACTGATGTTGTTTAATTCTTCAGTTATACTTAAGGCAGAATTATCTACTGGCAAAACCGTTTCCTTTATCGTAAAATCTTTTTGATTTTCATTTAGTTCTTTGCCCGCTACCTCATCGGTATCCGCTTTGTTATTATCGCCATGTTCTTCGTTATCCGTCGTTTCTGAAAATAAAGTCGCAGTTAAATGATGAGGTTCGACAATTGCAAGTCTGTTATTTGTTTACCACAGCTAATTAAAAGTAACAGCCTAACTTTAGCTAAATATGGCAGGTCGCCTTAATGTTAATGTTTGCGCTTTAAAAATTGCACTTATTACGTAATCAAGAATGATATAAGTTATAATCTATTTACCAGTTGGCTTTCGTTTTATATGTTTCTTCTTCTTCTTTCTGGTAGAATGGTGTATAACAACTTCCTCTTCGACATTATCTTGAGGTAGTGTTTGGCTAATATTTTGAGGGTATAAGTGAGTGTCCATATCTTTTGATAATGGAGGAACCACGACCGTGGTTGAATTGGCCTTAATATCATACGCGTATAAAAAAGTTAGCGATATTAAAGTATCTCTTCATAATAACATACTAATAACAGCTTTTGATAGAGTTAACCGGCTAAATATAGATATTAGTAAATGAAAGTTGCAACTTACAAAGCCTTCAGTTGATTGCTCTTTTGATTTATGATGAGTAAATATAGAAGCAATTTTTTTCCCTATAGGAACATGTTCTTCCGTTATTCCAGAATCTTTGTCTTCAGGAATGTTACTGGTAGCAGGTGGTAAGATGGTATGTTCTTCCACAGGAGGAGGGGAGCGAGGTACTTTTAAATATGGCAAGTTATTGAAAAGAAATATTAACGTAAATAATGCAACAGTAAATTTGTCTTATATTATCAATTGCAAAGACTTAAAATACGTGTATTTTAGTTTCCATTACCCACAGAAACGGAAGATGCCAGAGAAAGCTTTAACAACGGTTTTTCATTTCCAATTCGCAATAAGTATATATCTGTGTCCGTTAAAGCTACATCAATGATGTTTCCGACATCAATACTACCACCAACAATGACTTGTTTTAGGGGGTCGATGATCCATAAATAGTGACTATACCAGATACATAGATACTGATTGTTGAATTTACGAACGAGCCCAAATTGTAAATTCTGCGTTATAGGATTTTAATGATGTTTTATGGTTAAAATGATACTTGTAGTGAAATTTTCTATTACAGTGATTCAAAGCAAATACTATTAGGTAATGTTACAACCTCTTCGTAATCAGTACTGGTCGGTAAGGAAAAACAACCCAGCATTGCAATTGGTGGATACATTCCTTTTATAATTGCGTCTTTAAATATCATGGTTGTTTGGACTTTTCCTTGAACATCTGCCTTCCATAATCGTAGACCTGGTCTACATGCATAGATACTGATTTGATCATCATTGGTCCATAAACATGCGCCTACATCTGCGGGTCTAAAATTATTAATTGCTCACTTTAACAAGTATAAAGATCGTTGAATTTGCAAATTTTGGGTCGTGTGTAATGAATGATAATTATCTTCATTAAAAATAAAAATAATATTTACGATTTTCGAGGTTTTGAACCAACTTGCTGTATGACAATTTCCTTTGATTTGGGATCACAATTACAAATGAAGCATTTCATCTTTGATGAAACGACTAAGTAATTGTTTAAGAAATCAAGCTGACAGATTCCGGAATCTTCATGAATTAGGACACTAGATCTCAGTTGTCGCTAGAACACAGCAAAATTCATTTTAAAAAAGTTTTAAAATATAGCACAACATCTTCAAATTCGTATAGTAAGTATCTTTACCTGTTCAAAATCGATCAAAGTGACAGATACTTTCCCCGAGGCGTCACCGGTAAAAAGTCGCTTGCCGTTTGGAGACCATATCATGCATTTTATATTTGCAACATGGCTAGATTCAATCGATTTCTTTACAAGCTGAAACAATTTTTTTTGAGTATTATTGATTTAATTCTGAGCTAATTATGTTGTACAATCGACTAAAATTCTACTTTTTATATTTTATGGATTTATTAAAAATTGTTGAAGGTATTGAAATTGAATTGTTGGACAGACCATAGACAATGTTTACTAGTATAATATTTAGCATAAATATTGCTATTAACCTCCGTAACATTATCTCTAGATATCCGTAACTTGAACACTACCAACGTTCCTTTGTTACTACCGCAAGCTAGGTAATCATGAGAATTTTGCATGGCAAGACAAGTAATTTCATGCTTTCGGTTCTGATTAAAGATAATGCCAATGTATAATTAATAAAAGTCAACGTTATGACCATCAATAGCAGTTATAAGCATCCTACACGGGAATCGTTACGCATTTCAAATCAAAGGTAATATCAGCTTGGTATGCCGTAGATATTCATCTGTTAATAACTGTATAACAAGTATGCATCATACATAATGTACCTCAGCATGGATCTTAGCCAAGACGCCGTAAAATTTCTCTAGGACGTAGATAACACCTAAGTTAGTTCCTATGAAAATGAAACTATCTTTGGCTGTAACTGAGGTTACATGTTGCTGGTATGAGATCAGGCCACTGATAGCCTTTTTAGGTATCAATTGCAGTAGTTCGTCCAATGGCTCTAACTCCGACATTATAACATCGCGCCCTGGAACTAAGCCTATGTAATTAAGGTAACATCTTTTTATTACGTGCGAGAATAAATATTGGCTACTGCTAGTTACATTATCTTACCACACAATCCAAAAATTGTTACAATTTTACTTTATGAGATTTGAAAGTCATCATACTATGCTAGGAAAGAAAGAGACTAACAATTCTACTATATCGGTATGTCTACGTGAATTTGGGTTACTGAAATAATTATTATACTAGTGTGAATACAATCTATGCGTGTTAAGTCAGTATCAGATTTGGAGGCTTAAAGGTTTTATGTCATGGAATTGTTAGCCAAGTGTGAATGATCATGATTGTGTACTGTATAGAGTAAAGCATACGCGTAAAATATTTAAGATTGCAAAATATGTCGATCCAAATTAAATAAAATTATGATAGTAGCGTACGCGTATATCCTATTTTCATGATGAATTTCTCTTTTCATCACTTTATTAGAAGGATAGCGTATTCATTTGTGTTGTCTCATTGGTAACGGGAACAATTGTAATAAAATCTATCATCAATTACAACTACGTCTAAATGAATTAATATGCATCTACAAATATCATCCTGTACAGTATTGTAATATTAGCATGTATTCATTTAATCGAATCGATGTCCAATGGCTTCGCTTTCCCTAGCTAGGTATTTGTTTTCATCTTACTCATTTGCAGAATACGCGTACCGAAATCATCTATCCTTGATACATGCTGTATAATATACAATGTGTAGTCATGAATTACAACTATGCTTGCAATATATTGCTAAATAGGAGTGGAAGTTGTTGTAGAGTACAATAAGAATAAGTTACACGTATAAACATTATCTTGGTGCAAAGTGAAAGCTATCCATTGATAAATCTTTACTGGTACAGTAGAACTACATGATACCACTTCTCTCTCTACAAGTTTTCTATCAACCATACAGTAGCAATTAGCAAGCGGACAGTGGTTGGTTTGTACTGATCTGACATAGGATTTCTTGCAAGTAAACTTTTGCCGTACTAGCGTTCACTTTGCATTCTACAAATCCCTGGCTAATGGTTGTTGTTTAATTCCAAATTTGAATGCCATTCTCATGATCAACGGGGGTGGTTTATCGACATAGCGGGGTAGTCGGCATGATCGCTTTAATGAAATTATTACTTTATTAAAGCGATCGAATTATCTCTATGTATAACGCGCAGTGAAAGAAATTGTATACTACGAATTCTTATTGATACTGCTCATGTCCTATTCACAAGTTTTATTACTCTATGAAAATTTTCTTGCAATGATTAGTACAACTGCTGTGTGTGCCTGGCCTAAGCTACAAGCTTCTTGCTCACAGCGTAGACAGGATTCATTAAAAATGAATTTATCGAATGTCAAATGGTCCATCCCAATTGACTCAAGTTATTGTAACAATTGTATTGAATCCTTACCGACTTGATCCCAATCATTTCCTAGAATTATATTTTCATATATGACTCAGCATCGAAGTATTCAAGACGAACTTACCGTCAAATGATTCTTCTTCATTCGCCATTGCTTGGGTGCAAGTGGTAATTCAAGCTGTCAATTTGGATAGATTGGAATACGGTAGTATTTTACTGTCTATCGATAGAGTTCTACCGCACATTAAATATTCTATCCTATCACGAATAACTTGAAGAATTGCCTTAGGGATTTTAGCAAATTGATTTCACTGACAAAATTGAAAGAAGGAGAAGAATGAATGATGAAGCTCAGACAGGTCAGATCATACGCGTTGACTGCATCAAGTGTCAACATACAGAGTGTTGAAGCGACTTTTTGACGTCTGTACCGATGGTTGAACCTTCACCTGACAGCGAGTTTGGCCTAGAATTCTTTAGTCTACGCTGTACAGTGTACAGTACTGTACAGTACAGTAAGAACAGTACAGTACTTTACACTATACACTGTACTATATAGTACTGTACTGTACTGTAGCTATCAGTGCACAACAACGGTGGTTCTACTGCACTGGTCATTGGCTGACAAGATTGAAATAAGGAGAAGAATGAATGATGAAGCTCAGACAAGTCAGATCATACTGTGTTACGCGTTGACTGCATCAAGTGTCAACATACAGAGGGTTGAAGCGAGTTTTTGACGTCTGTACCGATGGTTGAACCTTAACCTGACCGAGAGTTTGGCCTAGAATTCTTTAGTCTACTGTACGCGGTACAGTGTACAGTAAGAACAGTACAGTACTGTACACTGTACTGTACTGTAGCTATCAGTGCACAACACCGGTGGTTCTACAGTACTCACTGGTCAGCCAGCGACGCCTCACTCAGTTTACGACGCACAGTTGCATACTTGCACGGGACGTCCTTTCACCAGTCAACCCCACTGACATGCGAAGCTCAAGTAAAAATGACGTCATACTATTCGAGGCGAAGGTTTTTTTCTCAATCAATCTTATGAGTCTCACGTTGTTACTCTCAGCGGTAGTCCAGTTGGTTCATATGCTGTAGTGCTGTACGCATTTCATGACGAAATGCGTAACCGCAACCTACAATATGCAATTGCCGACGAATATTGACGAAAAAGCTTCGAGCAGTAGTTTGGAAATAAGATGCATTGAATTCGGCTAGTGGATCGGAAGGAACACTGCAGTTTGCTGGTATACACTTTCAATCGCTGTTGCCCCATCAGAACAATACGTTGTTTATTATTTAACTGTAAATAACAAGAAATCACCAAGTCGTTCACAGATTATAAATAAATCTCTCTTTCATCTTTTTACTATACCTAGACTGATAGCTCACTTCAAGATCTTCTACAGTATAATGACATCTTTAAATACGATAGACTGTGCAATGTGCATGCATTAATAATTACAACAAGGAGGATGATAGCAAAGTAAACTATTACTTGGTAAATTAAAGAGTTCATCACAGTTATAGTAAATTTCTTATTCTGAATTTGTTACAACATAGAAATGGATATACAATCCTGTTGCTATGCACTGCCCTAGTCTCTATCAGAATTTCGAAAGATTTTTCCTAAGGAATCGATGTGGTACAGAGCAACTGAAAAATATACAATGAATTATAATCGACAAGAAAGAAATTAATAATAATTAAGCTAAAATAATGTTTGAGCTACTCCTAGCTATAGTAACTTATTATTTTGACTATGGAATGCCAAGCTATTATCAAATATGAAAATGATGACCAATTTATTCATTTACTCCGAAAGGAGATGATTTCCCTGATTTTAAGAAGTATTTACAGTAAATATATTCCAAGCCCAAACTTCTGGCGTCTGTACGTTTGTGCACAATAAGGGCCAAATGACCATTCAGATATAGCACGGACGCACAGACGATGCTACTACTGGACCTTTTCTATACTGTAGTGCTGTAAACTGCGCTCTAGGGTTATCCAAATGATCTACTGTTGTCAATTGATTGAACTATTTTGCAAACTTTTACCTCAACTTCTTTGCTCACAACATGGGAGACATTACGAATATCGATTTATACCAATTTCTGGGTGTTCCAGACGATAGCACAGAAAAGGAGGTTAGATCACTTGTAGTATAATACGCTAAACTATGAACTTAGTAGTACTCCATGGATAAACTGACGAATCATGTCCAAATCGTGGCCCCCAAAGTTGACAATAATGGATAATCATTAGATTTCTGTAATTAAATATGCTACAACAGATAGAGTCCATTCGTAGCTCAGATCCTATTAATTGTAAAGTATGAGTTGTCAACTGAACAGGATGCTACATCAAGTAATATTATGCCCTTACTTACCTCATTATTTGATATACCTACAGATAACAGTTTCAGCACACTTGATCATTGATGACTGTGGTCAGATCGTTTCTACGTTTCAATTTGCCAACAAGTGCTACGTAATCTCTGTCTTACAGAATCTCGATGCAGTGATGAGTTCGATGATATTTCATGCTGATGCAGTGTCTTACGTGATATACTGTAAATCTATCACGATATTTTCCGAGAAATGATGTAGTCGTAGGTACCGTACATCAGTAGAATTATAATTAAAGTTATGCATAATTCCATACTCATACTGAATAGTACACTAGTTGCCTGCAGTGCTTGAGGTAACTTTATATAAGATCTTTACACAATAAGCATAGACCTGCCTGCAGTCTCGTAATATCTATGATTTGCAATGCTAAAAATTACCCAAATTTTACAACCTTTGTTCTGTATAAAACTTGAAATTATTTTTTACCTATGATTCTGACAGCATACAGAAAGAAAGCTATCAAGTGTCACCCCGACAAGAACCCAGATAATCCTGCAGCTGGTAAGTATTACATTTTCTTCGATATGACAGAGCAAGTACTTGTATGGGAATTACTACTCATGGACTACTGCATTCATGGCACAATCTATTTCGATGATAGAGTATCATTTGCATTTACTCTACCGTCGTGTGCTTATACGAGCAAGAAAGATCACTGACTTTGATGCCCCAAATTTTATATTTTAATAGCTGAGACCTTTATCAAGCTTTCTAAAGCGGTCGAAATTTTGACTGATAAAGCGGCCAAGGTTCATCATAACGCAAATTCGTCAATTTTTGCTTGAGCACAGAGCATCGCTATTACAGAATGATAAAATATTTTACTTGTTGCTTGTATAGATAAGTTATGACCGACTACGTAAGGCACGTAAAGCGAAAGAAAAACGTGATGCTGCTCTAGATGCTACGAGAAAAAAATTTAAGCAAGGTCAGAATATTTGAGATGATTCGTATATTTAACTCTCGAACTGACTTTCTCTCATTTAATTCAGACTTGGAGGAAAGAGAAAGAAGCGTAAGAGATGACTATGTCGATGAAGCTGCAGAAGCAAAGAAATTGCGTGATCTTGTAAGACCTAATATGCATTATCCTTATTAAGATCGGATGGTTACGGTTTTGTAGGTCTACTAAAGGTCTATGCGTTGTAGGTCGAAAGAATAAGAGCGGACGGCTCTCGTAAACTGGAAGAAGAAAAAGAAATGTTAAGAAAGCAAATCGAAACAGAGATTGTTGAAAAAGGTATGCAAGTCATTTTATGAAATAGTTACTTAATTTCCTATACGTTTAATCCTACGCACATTTTCTTCAAGCTGAAGCCCACGATAACGAACAAAAAAGTTACACATTGAAGGTCTGTACAATTATCAGTACATCTGACAAACTTCAGCAATTAAAACTAATAAAACTTAATTTACAGGTTAGATGGAACTCTGCAAAAAGTGCTGATGCTAATCCTACGTATGATTATGATACATTAATGGAAATATTTAGAAAAGTAGGTATTAGAATTTTTTTCGAATTTTTCTATTATCTTAGTCGACATTTAATATAAATTTTTAACCTTCTACAACTTTGGCTATGGTTACTACATTTAGTTCGGCACTATTACTAATTTAGTAATTTCGGGGAAAAAGAAAGGCCTAGCTCTTGTTGAATTCAGCAGCTATTTGAGCGCAGTAAGATAAGAATTGTCATATAAATTCCTATTCCTAGACTGCTCATCTAGCGATGTAAAAAATTTGTCAATCATCTCTAGCATGTTCTATCTGAGCAAGAATCTTTGGGAAGTTCAAGTGATCCGTTAAGAATTTCTTGGGTTGGCGATAAGCCAACTCCTTCCACAAAATTTAATCGAACCCCATTTTCAAGTGAAAGCGCAAATTTTTCTAATCCTGTAGGAAAAAATTTTTGAAAATAACGGTCTTTATCATGGGTACATCTCGCTGAAAGTGTCAGTTTTATTATCTAGGGCCTGGTTAATGATCGTGATTACGAATCCCTGACATTAATGCGTCTTCGACAAGCAGAAGAAAGAAAACGGTTGGAGGAACAAATTGCTACGGAAGATGACTAATGGACTCAAAGAATTTTTTGCAGTAATGATATTAGTACCAGCAATTTTACTTGTAAATAAGAAAAAAGGTGTCAAAATGCGTACCACTTTGTATATTATATACTATAGTCTCCACCTTTGTTTGGGACGACCTTTAGTATCGATAATACTGTAGTTCTTGGTCTGATATTTATTTACTTAGTACTTTTAAAATTGTACAATTTCATAATTAAAATTTTCAAAGTATTTTCATCCTTTTAACTAATACTTATCAGACATTCTCGTATTGTGCTAGTCAGATAGCAACGATTTATTGCTACGACGGTGGCAATCATCAGTGCAGTAGTGAAAGCCAACATTAATGGGAGTAAATTCATTTTTCACTAATTAAAGAGGCGATTTAGATTAGCATGCACGTACAATAAATCTCATTCAATTATCAAGAAGATAAGAATAGATTTACATAACTTTTGACCGATAGCACTATAGTAGCAGGCTCCAATTTAACAAACTTCCGGAAGCATCAAGCCTAGTCTAGCGTATGCCACATTTATTGTGATTAGTTATACTCTATATCATAGAGGTAAAACCTAGAGTAAGAATGGTCTGTTTACGTCTATTGCTATCATAAGGGTTTATACGAGCTATCAACGAAATACTAAATACCAATAGTGATGCTGTAATGTACAGAGTTCGCGATAGGGTCTAGCTAGATACGTTTATCGCTACCACAAGGGTTTTATTGTCGATATGATATATGCAAATAGTGATCCTGTGATGCACAGAGGTCATGATAGGGTCTAGATAGGTGTTTAGTGCATTCTATCCGTAGTACGATAGCATCGTATAACTGCTGGTATACATCTAGGCTGCAGTACCAGTGGCACTGATTGAGCTATGTGCGCTATTTACTATGTTATTATCTCGAGGGCTTTCATCTCTTACCAAGTCATAACGTGTTACATGGTGTGCAAATTTTCCTTATAATTCAGTAGAACACAGTGTAGGTACTGCAATTAGTCTTGCGTCAGTAAATTATGCGATTTTGTTGCAATATACTCTAGCACTCCTACTAGTATCGTACTTGAATTTGTAGTAGAATCTGCGTTGCTGATATACTAGCTACTACGCAACATCTCAGTTACGCCTTTATACTGTATATGTAACAATACCGTTAATTACCGTTATACTATTCACTATCGGATATCAATTACAATCATAAACTTGTACCATTGCCTTATCTATCCGATGTATCTGCGTATCTAAGTCTAATACTAGATATTATTCGGAGTATCGTGGGTGTTTCTATTTACTTGGTACATTTTACTACCATACACAGTATTGCATCCTTGCTTTAGCGATAAATAATCGAAGTATATCGTCAATGTATTGTATGCCACGTGAGAGTCAATCGACTAAGAATATTTAGAGCGGTAGCCATTAATATAAATATTAGCCTGAATTGACTATAATTTATAAAGTTTGCTTTCGTCAAAGTAGAGATTTGATTACATAATTAAGAAATGGCTTGGATATCTATTCCGTTACATGATGATAGCTATGTTGGTAAATTAAGCATTGCTGCAAGTGTTTTCTTGGCTATGGGAATTGGTAGTTACTCTCTATATTATTTGTTACGAAGGAGGAAGATAAAGACTTCTGAGATAGAGAAGAAATCGATAGATAATGATATTAAAAGTGATGGATTAGTAGTTTGTATTCATGAACTCAATCAAGCTATAAGTAACTTGAGATATGTTCGTTTGGAACATCAAGAGAATGGCTCTAAAAATGACGAGAAATCCCAACAACTAATCGTCTGCATCGATCGATTAGCGTCTCAAGTTGACCAACTTCGTCAATCTTTAGAAAATTTGCAAGAGAAAAAGGATACAACTACTGGCAGGCGTGATAGCATTGCTAGCAGCCAAAGTAGCGACAACTTTTTTGACGCAAGTGTAGAAGATGATGACGATGATGCCTATAATAGCGGGATTGATAGGTTGGTTATATGTAAAAAATATAGTTAAATAGGATATGCCATTAAAATCAGTTTGGCATACTAATTCACTTTCTTACTCATCCTTGCAGTGTAAATGTATTCCATACTCTTATAACTTAGAAAATCACCTACTATTTGCAAAGAGAATAGTATATAACTTCCACATAAATAGATTACTTACTTTCAACAATGCTATGTATAACTTAGAAAATAAATTAGAAAATGAGTCACTGCATTCTATCTATGAGATTGAATACGTTCACTTGTTAATGATAGAATTTCTGTAGAAAGGCATTTAAATAAAATATGTTGACGATAACGTTTCAGATAATAAATAGTATGTAAAATTTTTATACCTTTACTAATATCAATCGCAACATCGCATACGATATTTTCCCTCTTTGTATATTTAATCAAATTAATAGACTTTATGAAATTACTCATATAATGGCTAAGTAGCGGTAAACATAAAAAATTGAGTTAACCCCTTTATTCTATCATCAATTAAGCATGTAAATGACTATCAGCATTATCATCATTTGTGTACGGTATGTAACCCTGACAGCTTTATTCGTGTACATTGACAAGATTTAGAAGTCCGATTCAGTATCATCTATATGGAAGTTAACTGTGTTATTGAAATTTTGAGTATCTAGTTTGCATTACAACAACTTCATTTAACTATTTATCATTTTAGATAGATGCATATAAATCTACTAACAACGTTTAATATGAATAAAGCTAAATGTCACAGTTTAAGGGTAGCACTTAGTAATTAATGATGGTAATCTCAATTTCATTTGCTAGCCTAACCTGAATAAATAATGTACTATAGAAGTTCTTGCTCTTGATAGACCATCAAGTGGTCTCCGCTACGAGTTATAGATTAAATCGAATGAGCGTAATGCAGTTAGAAGAAATATCTTCTGTCATCTAACAAATTTAAAGTCAGATAGCTAACTCGTTACATTTTACTGCTACGTATATTGTAGTATTGCATAATTATATTAACAGAATAATATATTACAACTTGATGTAGACTATTCTAATTCTAAGTTTATAAACAATCCTTTATTCTTACGTCAGTTCGTGCCTAATTTTACAGTTGTATTAAAATGCTTAATATGTTAGCCATAATTAATATTGGACTGTTAATTCAGTATTTCAAATAATTATTTTATCATATATTTCAATAGGATGGCATGGTAAAATATGTAGTCACAATCTCTGTCATATAGATCTACTTAAAATCGCCTAAACTTTACTTTAAATTCTATAATACCAACTTTGATAGAGTCACATGAGGAGTTATTTAGCTTAAATGAATACTCGTGTATCTAGGAAATGAATTAATATACGATCCTATCTGTAATAAATTTATATTTTATATATTAACTCGTAAATAATTACGGTAGCATTACTATTTTTCATTGATTTAATATAAAATTTACATTTTACTCTAATTTATAATAGATTTTTAAGTTGTGAATCTCTAGAAAGTATCCCAAATCGACAATCTAGATCAGATACAAGTATAAATTTGGATGAGGTACGGAGTTATTAACATTCATTGCAATATTGATGTTAATGTAATTTTTGAAAGAGTTCAGCTCTAGCTGAAAGAACCAGTTATCTTGCTATAGTTAAGAATATTCTCTATGATTGCTTTAAGCTTTTAAGATATGTTGATCAACTACACCGTAATTATGACCCCAAAAGTCGCCGCAAAGCTTTAGATAAGTTGAAAAGTATATATGGCAAGGTAAGCAAATTTGAAATTATCAATCTGTTTTACGTTGGCGGTTAACCCGCTACTGTTAATCATTTGTATAATAAAATTATGGTAGATTATAAAAAAATTTAAAAGCTATAATTGTATGTTAACATTGTAGAGCATCTTAATTTATCAAGTATGTAATATTTCATTAAGGATTGCCGAGAGATATCTTATAACTATTACAATCTCTAAACATTACCATATGCTGAAGATTATGTCTATTTCCTTTAATTGATCTTGTCGTGTGACTGAATAGAAAATTTTTGTCGTACTTGTTTCACATTGGTCTCTCAAACTTCAAATATAGTATCAAGAAAATGTACAAGTATTATGGAGATATGCTAGAGCACACCTTGAACTATGTGAATATGTCGATAAAGATGAAGCCAAAACACTAACATACAGTGCACTCGATATCGCCAAGAAAGTTCTATCTATCAATGATAGCTGTAGCGAAGGCCATAAATGGTAACGTAATCTACCAATTTAGTTCTCTAGTTGATTGTCGACAGAAAAAACTTTGATCCATTACAACGTGTTCTATCCTTTTTGATGTCTGATAATTTAGGTACGGAATAGCCTTAGGTGCTATTATATCGTATGAAGGTAACAAGAAAAAAATAGAACTAGGCTTTGAATTTAAGGTAGAAATGGATAGAGCAATCGAATTAAACCCCGAAGATCATGAAGTTATGGGTTACATAGGAAGGTGGTGCTATGAGGTAATTGAAATACCTTTTGTCATCATTTATGTAGATCATTGAATTTGTGAACTTTCAATCTTAGTGTGCATCATTATCATGGTATGAGAAAAAAGCAGCACGACTAATTTATGGTGATCTGCCGTCTGCCACTATCAGTGAAGCTCGAGAATATTTAATTAAAGTAAGAACTGAAAGTTTGGGATATATTTTTCACTTATACAAGCTAGCTAAGTTACATGTTTAAAATAATTTATGGGTGTGATATCTTATACAGGCAGATGGAATGCAGCCTGGATATTCCAAAAATACGAGACTTTACGTAGGAAAAGTATGTGTACTGATACTAGTGAATACTATTAGTTTAATTAAATCTTATGAATTTCAATACAGGTCTTAGTCATTGTTTAATTCATCTTCCTTTGGCAACTAACATGTATTGTTAATTTTCTAGTGTTACCTATATGATAAAGATTATAGAAATGCACGTCACTGGCTCTTACAAGCCAAAGAAGTTGCTACTATAACTTCGCAGGCAAGTCTAAACTCTAATTATTTTGTTACTTGTGTCAGTAATAACAGATAATTTGTGATTTAAAATCTATATGAACTCCTATAAAATATAGAAATTTATTCTTTAGGTGAGCGACAAATTTAAAAAATTTACCAATTTTATAATATTTGATTTCATATCTTAATGATATTTAGGATAGAGAAGCAGAAAAGGAGATTGAAAAGTTACTCTTACAATGCTGATGGAGATCTATTCTGAATTGTTATTTTTTTGTACCCTCTTTTGGAAACGATTGTTGCCACCAAGTTATAAGCTGTCTGATTAATTAAAATCATATAGTTACCATGAATTTTCATTTATGCTGCTATGCTATAATGGATAATATAATTACTTCAAAAGACATTATTATTTCTCTCCTACAAACTTGTACAGGATATAAATGAAAGATATTTATTGATTTATTGATTTGGTTGATGAATAAGATTAACTACTTCACATCAACTAATTCATGTTAAGTAATATTTTAGTAACTACGTAGCGCTGCAATATTCATCGTAAAACTGTAAATGTATCGATTTTTTTGCGCATATAGACAATTTCGTCCATGGATTCTGTAACATGTTGTAAGAGAATGAATAAATTAATAAATCTGAATCCTATCATTTATAATATCTTACTGCTGTGCTAATAAACCAGCCACAAACGTGATGACATAGTCATTTTATGATCCAAATATTCACATAGCAATCATTTCGTTAATCTGATACATTCATAATTGGAAAATTTTTAGTTTTAGTATTGTTGATAATATCTTAACTAATTTTTGATATTATTTCTAACCATATCTAAAGAACTGAGTACAAGTAACTACTAGAATGTTTTGATAGATTATAAGTTAAGGATATTCTTCAGATTTACTAGATGAAATTACTTTTGTTTTAACCTTGGCAGATCAAGATCAATAACCTATTACCGTACGCCTACTGCATTAGTGCTACTAATTATGCATCCCAAGGAATTTACCTTTGTTTAATGTAGATAGCTGCAACGCTGCTTTATAATATAATCAAAAATCAGGATAGTTTAATACCAGTAAATCTTATCATGTAAACTTTGAATGGCCTCTGATATACGGAAGGAGCCTCATAAGCTTTTATCTGATAGCAGATAAGCGTGATTTTGTAACATAGGCCGGCAACGAAGGGTAAATACGAGTTATCCTTTATGTTGTTAACTGACTATGATAATTGTAGTTAATTAAGATTACTAAAATTGTAGCGTCGGTACTCCAGACTGACTCAAAACCAATCAATCAACTAACCAATTTTACATGATTTAATTATTCGTTCAAATCATGTTGTGGAAGTATTCACTTCATTTTTATTCTACGATTTTAAACATTCGTTAAAGGAATGCATCTCAATTGAGTTTGAGCTATATTATCCTGCACTTTATTCATGTAAAATTCAATAACTCGGCCGAAACCATTGACTAGTAAGACAGTAGCGTGAAATTTGTGCTTATCTTAATTTAATAAATATACAGATTAATATGCACAAATAATAACCCATGTCTTCATCTTCAACGAGTCGGGCGATGTAACATTATTTTCAAATAAGATTTTAAGTAGCTAGCGTCAGCAAAAGTAACCAATATTGGTCATGTTCTTAGGAGGCAAAAGTCTGGTGTAATCTATACATGTAAATTAACATTAATTTGCAAATTATCTGCATTTACACACCAACTATCTTAACTCAATGACGATCACGTTATTCTTATTTATCCACAGCATTAGGATACTTTCAGTATCTCTTACAGTTATATTTATAGGGAATCTCTACTTAAATTATTACAGGAATTGTTTGTAGTTGCAGTATCATTTGCAACTTATAGTATATAGAAGTGAATGCAAATAAATTTAATTGATCCGCAATAAAAATGTTGGCTAATAAGTCAGTAAGCAGTATTATAATAGGTAAGTGAAAAGAAAGAATTATTAAGAAGACCCTAGATCTGTTACTTAATAGATATTTTAGATAAGATTAAATTGATCTCGCTCTGTAATAAATGTCTACTGCTACAAAAAATTTTACCCGTTTACCCGTATCGCATACTATATCAATTTATGTAAGATATTGTATTTACAGCCCCTATTGAAATATCTTACTTAAAATTCAGAATTAGGTTACAATGCAGTTTCTGCAGTTATACAGAGTGTTAAGCGATTCATTGATTATTTATAATAACTGTATGAACCGTTGAAATAACGATAAGTAAAAACTGATTTAATATCAGAATCTATCACTTGGCAAACAGCGTAAACTTCAGTTCTAGTATTGCAGTAACTTTTAAGGTGCATAATTAAAACTATTAGTAACAGATTAAATATTAACCGATTCGAAATGGATAAGTCTCTGTTTATATATTATCTTCAATTTGTAGCTGTTCTAGAGGGCTATCGTCACTCGGTCCATGGCTTGTCCCAGGTGTCGGAGGGCTATTGCTGCGGAGTCCTCGATCAAAGTTAGATGCATTCAGAAAGTTGTTTACATTGTTGTTGCCTTGTTGATAGTTGTTTGATGAAGAATTTGTATCTGTCGATGGTCCAGTTATAGCGGTATTACCCCAAGTTACACAATGCCTACGTAAAGCAGCAGCCATAGCGGCATTATTTGATCGGGTCGCTAGTATAAATGTATCGTCCGGGGGTGTTCCACTACCACGATTTTCGTACAATAGCGCATTTAGTGTTTCCTCATAAATTTTAGCTTCCGGAAATTCTACTTTGGTTTGCTTTTTCTCGGTTGTATAGACAATTGAAGTGCAGCATACTTCGGCTAACTTACGCCCATCAGCGTAAAATGACCAGCTGCAAATCTCGTTATTTCCCATCACGTCTTTCATAAAAATTATTCGACCATTAAATCGTAGCGATAACTTGTCAAACATTTCAATATTTTTTAGAAAATTTTCATCCGAAAAGCTAACATTGAATAAAATAATGCAACATATCTTTAATATCAATTTATAAAATCACAAAGTAATCTACAGCAGCACTGACTGTTATGCCTCTCTAAGCACCAGAGAAATTATTGAAAATCATGTCATTGATTTAATAGGGAATAACTTGACCCATAGAAATATCGTCGACATCAATGATATACACGTACTGTACATACCTCGTATAGGAGTATTTGTTATTTGATCGATTATACAGTAACTTGATGCAAGGCTAAAATTAAACATTCAAGTTAAGATCAGGGATACAAGACCATGTATATAGACTTAACTGAATTCAATCTTTTTATATCATATACATATATTAAGTCATAATATAAAAGACTGTCTTGAACATGTTGGTTAATTTTGCTATGATACAGTTAGCACTCGATATCTTACCTTATTGGCAGCACTAACGATTTTTTGCTCTTCCTGAATAGAAGTGATGATTGGTACACGGCAAATGGGGATATAGTGCCTATTTTTTCCCTCTAAATGCTTGAGTGTATCTTCACAAACTTTGGCTAAGTCTTCAATCAAGAAGTATTTGGCTTCCATCATTAATTCCTTACACTCCTCATAGGAATCCGTTAATATCGTAGTGCGATCGCGCAAATAATTTAGTATTTTACCGAAATGTTTACCATCTCGATCGATAAGTACCCAACCTGCATACAAGTACGAATGATGATAGGATCTATGAAATTACTCATTATAGCAGATATTATTGATTTAAAAGATTTTGTACTTTAGCTGTGTGATCCTATAGGATCACCATCAGTGAGTTAAACAAACTCCAAAAAAGACAATTATCATCATTTCTTAATGTGCTCTGGACACTAGTTAACATTGAAAAACGTTCAAGCTAGGATTTGCAAAAATTTTCAATAGCGACTATATAATTTAAAAGATTAGATTTGTTAGTCAATACTGTTGAGCATAAGCAGGGTACGATTCTATATTGTTACTACATTATTACATTTGAATGTTGTTGTAACTCATACTATCGAATATAGCACAGTAATAAGTAGAAAATGCATGCCGCTATACGAGTATGGAGTACAGTATATTGTAATGAATGATATCCTGTTCGATAACAGCAGGAAAAAAAAAATTTGACTTGAAGGATATTAATGATAGTTTTATGTTGTTATTTATGAGTAGCCAATGTGATTACCACATAGTCGTTATTATTCTTACCTTCTGGATCAGTTAGGACTTCCATGCGGCCGCTAAACATTGCTCTTAGCATATTATCTTGCTTAATCAGTGTAGCAAGGGTAGTATAATAAAGGCAGCCACCGACATTTAATTTAATATATTTAGATGGTGGTCCGGTGATGATGCTATATCTAACCGCCTGATCCGACATCTTGATCCTAATGAATTTGAAAAATGTATTCAATTAAGATATAACTGACTAGTTCATGGTTGCAGTTGAATCTTCAGAATATATTGAGTCAATGGGTAAGCATTCCAGTACTTCTGTAGACCGTGAGTACAGTATGTATGTACGTAAATTGACTTTTCAAACTTTAGTCATAGAAAAGTTGAGACAACCCAGTATCCTACTGCATATTCAGGTATGAGAGTAGTCTAGTAATGATTGTAATTGTCATTATTATTCTACGAGCATTATCATATTATTTTGATCATGAATATAAACCATTGGAAATGGGTAGTGTACCCATGTTAATACTGTACAGTATGATGGTAGCACTATCATTACTTTATGGTGACCTGTTCGATCTAAATGACAAACTTACTCCAAGATGTACTTTTAGCAGACGTGCAATATTAACAATAACCTCTATGTATACTGTACAGTAATGTGACATTGTCCATTTTTCAAACTGAAAGCTCGACTTGATAGTACAGTATATGGTATAACGGAAGCATTTTCTTTAATTACCGAGAGCACTATGCAATCTTTTCTTCTGGACTTATCAGAGAGTAATATGCAATCGCTTCTTCCAAGGTAATTTGCAGGTTCCACCACAATCTACTCGCTGTACAGTCTCGGTAGCTGGTGTAGCCTTGTATCATTCAAGAAGTAATCTCTGTCGATCACCAAATATTGAACAACAACGTTCCAATTCAGAAGATGGGACTGGCTTGCGATGTTGACAAAATGTCGCCTATCTAGGCCTGGCCTTCTTCTTCATGGAATACTGGATATGACATATACAGTACATATACTGTACACTGTACAGTACGTGCCCTGTACTGTACCGTATTGCGTCAGAGACTAACTAGTACGGGCCTGTACTGTACAGTATTACGTCAGAGACTAACCGGCTATAGTTGCTGTCTACAGTAAAGGGTCTCTAGTCTACTACACGGTGTACAGTACTGTATGAGTCATGGTCGTACCTGAGAAATTTCGGTTTACAACCTACAGTACGTTGAGTATTCAGTATACAGTACTGTAGATTTACTATACTGTACTGTACTGAATACTCAACGTACTGTACTGTACGTACAGTACAGTACAGTACAGTATACTGAATACTGTACTCAACGTACAGTACGTACTGTACTGTACAATACTGTAATACTGCGCTGTACAGTACTGTAACGTACCACCGGTAGATCCCAGTAGAATAAAGAATCCAATCGACGTTGCTATGAGACAAAATACAGAAAAGAGAAGATGGAGGACGACTCCGTATCACTTGGTAACGGATTATTCATCGATGAACTCTGCAAATTAAGAGTTTTAAATCCTGAAATTGCAACCCGAACACAGCAACTCAATGGAGAATGTAAAGAATTCGTTGATAGTAAGACTAAAATAGGGTTAAAATCGATAGGAAATACGATATACGTTATAATAGATAGGATATACATCCTTACCAGTATGTGGTGTTGCCTGACGTATAAGTGCTGTATCATAATATCAATTTTACTGCCTTTCCCAATATAACGATAAGATTGAGAACTTAAAATTGAATTCATTACGATAAAAGAATTCTTCAGAAATTGCTTACCATGTCACTTTATTCCCTCGGTTTAGTAGTCAAGTGTAGAGGACTACGGTAGTAGAAGTCAACAAGTTCGCTTGACAACTTACGAGTATGAACCGTAAAATATTCGCCATTATTGCATTTTTGTAGTCGTTTTTCGTGTGTATTATACCTAAAAAACCTTCATGATGGGGTAACATGATATCGATAGTTATCATAAAAATTAGTAGTGTAGATGAACGTTACCTTTCTCCATGTTTCCTTCCTCCCCTAATGTTCCATTGACACTTATTTATAAATGACAACCGTAGTAAACTTGTAATCTCTCAATTATAGAAATCAACGAATTTCAAAGGATTGTCGGTGGGTTCATTTCGATGGTTAGCGATTTGGCCACACAAGTGGAAAATGAGAAAATGAAGGTACTATAAAATTCTTATCTATCAGGTAGAATTGCTTGGAAGTCTTGGTCAAGCAAGTTGTATAATTCTATGACGATTGTTAAACTTTAGAAAACATTCGCATACTTCGCAATAAATGATAGGTTAACAGTATTAGACTTTATTTGAGAGGTGTTTGGCAGTACTTTACATGATGAACGCGGGGAATTATCTTCATAGACGGCAATATAAATCTCTATAATTGATAGATGATAATTTTGCGCAGTTGTCATCATCAAGCCGTAAATCTAAATTCTATAACCGTGCTATAAACTTGAATGATAACCTCTTTAGGCAATTGGATGTCGTAACCTTCTGAAGTCTATAGCCAAAGAAAGAGAAACCAAAAGGCAGCAACTACTAGCTTTAATAACTGAGAAAAAAATGCAACTAGAACGGTAAGCTACTTCTAATCTTAATGGTATTAACTTAGCTTTTACTCATTTCATGTTTTATTTTTTACATATTACTAGGTTAAATACCCAATATGAATCCCTACTAAAAGTTGAAGCGGATCAAAACGAGTTTATTGAACAGTTTATTATGCAAAAATAAGCGTAAAATAGCATTTTAAAGTGCATATTGGCAAATTTTAAATTATGCTGAGTTATTCCCTGTTTGAAGCATTTCGATGTTTATAAAGTTTATTATCTTTCTAATGTAATTTAGGTTTTCACCAGCGTTACTACAATCGCACATAAATATTGTAATTTTGACCGGTATATTGCCATTTTTATCAGTGTAATTGTCGGTAGCATAATACTTGTTTATTTCACATTTGGACCTTATGAAATAATGTACAAATTCAGATAGTGATCGTGTCACCTTATACTATGTTAAAGCTCGGGATTTACGAGGTAGGAATCAACTGTAGAATAAAATCTAGTACTTTTCAATACCATTACAATCCTGTAGAACTTAGCAAATTCATCAATAAAGAATTTGTTCGACGAAAGAATTGAAGTTGAAATCGTGCAATTACTAGTAGTCATCATTTTTAATACTGTAAATTTTTCAGAGTGAAAAACGGGCTTTCCGATCTTTCTGAGTAACCAGTAATAATTTTGCCTTTCTTAAATGAATAGAACCTGCCATCTATTTTAAGTATAGTAATTGAGATCAGATATAATCTTTAACCTTAGAATATCTAATTGTAAAGTGCTTACCACTACAAGCTCTCAGTACATTGATATATTAGCTGACTGATTATATGCAAACATTTACTGTTTTTATTATACACGAACAGAAGGCTGCCAGAAGTTAATTCTAATGTAGAATGAACTGACTATATGCAAACATTTACTGTTTTTATTATTGATTAACCACCTGTTACTGTTAATACACATTATATCTTATTTTATTATATTGAATCAAATAGATACCATTGGAGTAGTAATCATACTCATATAGCAAATTGTTACAACAAAGTAGTTGACAGATAGTTGCCATTCTAATACATTCAACTAAAATTACTGCTAGAATTGCTAGAATTTATTTTACGCGATAACAGGCAGTTTCACAACATTGCCGAAATACAGTTGTGGGCATGCAGACAGAAAGGGAATTCGATGCGTTTCTGAATTTAAAGCCTGAATTCGTGTAATCCAATCGATGCCAAAGAATTCATCTAATTCATTCCAGACTTCATAGCTGCAGTGATCATATCAAAAGTTTTTGACCAGGCTTCATGGACTTCTGGTGTGAAATTTTCTTGCAATTTATCGCTAAGAGTTTGTATAAGCGCTTGACCTACAGCCTTTTATAAAAGCAAATTATTCATTAATTTTATAAAGCACCGGATAAAACTGAGAAGGCTTCATAATCTACAAACTTGATTGTAAGAGCTTGTAGATTTATATAGAGATATTAAAACCGTCAGAAGAATGAAGACTTTTTTAGTGCCTCAGCGTTACTATCAGAATATCACGCTCCGTTTAGTTATTTGAAAATCATCCACGAGAATTGGATTGTTAAATGCTGCAGTTAAATTTTACGTACTTCTACAACTTCCATCAAGCTCAGATGGCAATAAATGTACAACCAACCTGTAGTATTATATACTCAAGTCACTTAAAAAATCATAATTTCTAATGACATCACTAAAAAATCATCTAGTGTAGGCATTTCTATGTATAACCTGAATCAATTTGAAAGCGCAAGTGTAAACAATGAAAATCGAAAATAAAACGGTGGATTAATTAACAATAAACCAGCTCAATAATTATACCTAAGGGCAATTTAATAGATTACAATTCAGATTTTAACGGCCATAGTCCCCTTTGGTAAAAAATAACGTTTTTAAATAGCGTACACCGAGATTGGTGTACTGTACTGTACTTCGTATATCAAAAAAGCTAAATCAAGATAACAGTTTCTTGAGTTATTTTCTAATCAAAATTTTTATCAAGATTTAGATAAAATATAGTAAAGGGTAGCTTGACTCAAGTCAGATCGTCTGATAGCGAATGATTATTGTGTTGAGTTTAATCATCCCATACCCAGGTCTTTCTATCCTGACATTTTATCTAATAAAGCAATTGTATCTACAGTATGTCTATTTTAAATCGTTCTGAATAGAAAACAGATAATTACCTGAAAATTTTCAAATTTGATGGCTTTCCGGTGGTGAAATTGACCTAGTGTGCTCAATGCTGACTGCAACTCAGAAAATTGATCCAAATTTTGCACTGCTTTCCCTACAGTCTTCATGACTCCTGTAGCGTGCACTCGTAGTCGGACGTTGTCTGTTGTTGTTTCAAATGGAAAGACTTCTCGGTATTCAGGAGCTATAGTGAATAATCTTCATGATGACAAAAAAATGAATAAAATTTTTTTATTTCTGTACTTATAAATCGTTAAATGTAAGTCGAACGTAATATGCGAGTGAATGTCAGCACAGTAATACGCCATTTATCGTCGACTGATTATAATTATGGAAAAAGCAAGTCAATTGACTAAACTAAAAAGGAGGAAGTGTATAACGCTCCTAGATAACTCTTCTATCGAAATCGTAATGAAATACACTCATTGACTGGTGAAGCTAGCAGGTATAGCAACTTACTTGGAAAATAAATAGAGTCCAACTTCGGACATGTTCTCCTCGACATCTTGCCAATTCTCTCGAATAATAGCTTTTTGTTCTTCGGTTAACGATGGTTGTGGCGGAGTTTGAACAGAATCGGTTTGAGCTTGATCCATGTTGAGTACGAAAACAGCAAATTTGCTAGTAATCTATCTTTCGATGTTTTCTCTTTTAATATCAAATGGAATGTAGTTGAATGGAAAGAGCAACAAGCCATTTTATACCTTCATTCTTATCACCTTGTTATCGAGACAAAAAAATAATAGTACAGTACCGGTACAGTTAGCCATGCTATCTAACACGTACCCCGAAAGATGCTTGAATTAATCTCTCTACCGCACTTTAGTGTCTACAATACAGTAGAATTATATAATTATAGAAGTTATTTATAAGCTACTGTATAAATTTGTTCCTTGATAATGAGGAAGTATTCCTTTATGTTCTGCTTTCATAATGACTTGCCAGTCTACTGTATAGCGCTAAGGACTTACAAATGTATAGGTAAATTTGGTTACTATGTATAGATGAAGCAGGGACTATTAAAGAAAGAGAGAGAGAGTTTTAGTAGTCTCTGGATGAAGACAGCTTCCATTTTGCTACATTTTTGCATCTGGTGTCAGTTGTAGCGTTGCCTAGAAATGGCAGTCCACCTTGGATCACGTTAGCACATTCAATATCTTTGTAACTATACGCTTTGCCATACCCCTAGCAGATAGGATGAATCGATAACTATAAATGTCCTTAATCGGGAAAACAGGAACTAAATTTACTGTTCACGTAATAACCATGAAATCGGAGTTGATGATACTCGTATACACTTAACTGTTTACTGTGATAGGTAGTGATGCATAAACATGCAGTAGAGCAACATTACTGTAATTTAGTGCTCACCTACTGTACATGATCAACTGTCATTGACATATTTACCACAGAATAGGCAAAAAATGAGAGCGAGACTATTTCTTGAGTAGTCTGGTTTTACAGTATCTAGCTGCAAGGTGCTACTACAGCATAACAGCAGTGGTTACTACAATACCTCTAAAGGATTAAAGTATAGTACACCTGCTTACACCTATTCAATGAAATTGCCTTGTGGCATTACTGGAAAATCGTCTTTGTAAATAGCAGGCAAGTCAATACTGTTAAAATTCACGTACTACCAGAAAAATTATATCATTTAGTCCTCAAGGGTAAATTAGGCGTACAATGTTGCCTCCTCAGAAGTAATTTTTAGTAAAAATAGGGACTTTTAAACAAGTAAGCGTTTGATATGGGCATGATGAATAACTGACTAACCAATAGTAGAATCACAATAGTAGTACATTTATAAGAAGTACCTCGAATAGGATATTCTACTACGGTCGTAATTAGAATGCTGTAAACTATGTTTATAAAAGGGCAATGAGAAAAAGAGTCTGTGCCAATTAGATTTAAAGCCGGAAGATTCGAAAGTTATCGACTCTTACGGTAGGAAATAAAATATTAATGTATTATCTGCGTCTAAAAAAACTACTAGACATTTGATGGAATATTACAAATAAGCCCTAAGGATAGTTAACATTGTACGTTTATCCTAATAAGGCCATTTCTGTATGAACGCGTGATGACAGTTAGGAATCTAATGTTGGTTAGACCTTCCACTTACTGTAATGGACTTTAAATTTCAGATTCTCAAATTAGCAAGTTTTAACTTAGGCAAAATAAAAGCTGACGGCGCTCGCCCTATACAATCGATTTGCAAATTATTTTTAGTGATTTATCATTGCCACTCGTGTGCACAAAACCGCATTCATTTGTTAACTGCGTACGTAGGGCATGTTATTTATCTAATGCTATTGCATCCCTAGTCATAGTTTAAACTGAAACTGCTACGTTGGATGATCTTCATAAAAGTATTTACTGCTTTAGCTTGCTAACACTGATCGATCGCAAATAATTGAATAATTTATTCGCATATATACATGAGCAGGCTCAGAAGCGCCAAAATAAGGTATATTTATCTTTGACCTCCTTATAGATATAGAGCGCTCGCAATAAAGGAGAAAAAATTTATACGGCAAGCTGCGAATGCCATATTCATTCATTAAGGGAAAACACATCCTATTAAATACCGGTAGTCAATAGTTACAAGGCCTAGGAAATTGGATTTACAAAGATGATTTTATGAAGGAACTATATTATGAAAACTTTCTACTTTAATATGTCATTTTCAAAATTATTAACGTTAGGTACTCCACCAGTAATGTTATGCAAGCACTACAGTAATTAATTAGAGGTTTCAGTAATGATGATCAATCATTACATTTGCCGGAAAACGCCTTAAGCAAGCGATTTCTGATAGAAAAATATAAATTTCCTAAAGCCAAGACCCATTCAGGTGATTAATGGAAGACCATGAGGTATTTTTTCATTATTGTATTGCAAAGTACAATCTTATTCTTTAAAAAATGCAAAAATTCGAGCATTGCACCTCCGCATTTTACGGGTATACGCCTAACATAGACTCTAATTGCCTATACAAGTACTAGCTAACGGAAAATTGTAAGCGGTAAGGGCAATGTACATTACTAGATTGTTATGCTGACAATAATTTCTCTGCCTGCCATCAGTAAGAATGATGACTTTCTTCAAGTTATGCAATTTATTTATTGATTAGTGATGCGTCTAATGTAAAAATTTTTATTCAAAATCCATAGCAATTGTTAATGAGGTAAGAAAACTGTATAACAGTCATAAATATGTATACGAAACTTTGCAAATCTAGAAAAGTATTCCTAGAAATGTTTTTATTCTGCAAATGATAAACACTACATTCCTTTCCATTAATCCTCATTCGTTGTTTCGGTTATAGATATAAGCGTACTTAGAATTCTTTTCAGGCCTCTGGTATTGATTCCATCGATGCGTAGTCAGCAACAGCCTAAATTATTTAAATAAGTAAATAGTTAAAACTTGATTGAGACAATAATTCAGTTACAATAACAGTTGCCTAGAGGGTATGTAAATAGTATTTGAATCAAGAGTTCGCTTATAATTATTGTTAGCAACTAAGAATGGCGAAAAAATGACAAAGAAATAAAAAATTGGATCTTAGTAAAAGTCCGATGGATACAGCCGTTACTAAAATAAATAAATTTGTCTCCTCTTACCAATTAGTAAAGCTTGGTAAATATTGAAAGATGTACATGTATATTAGCCAGCCTCGTTCACCAATCCAAACTTCGTCTACTTCATTCACGATTGCGGTCAAAATCAGGCTTACACATCTATCCATTGATTGTTTACGAAATATTCCTAATCTTCGTTTATCCTTATTTAAATCCTATAAAAATTTAAGATAAGTAAAGCATTCCTTTTATATTTTCCATGTTACATAATTACAGTATAATGTATAAATGTAGTATAGAAATAGAACATTATTATTATACCTCCACATTTTCCACGTACATAGAATTAACATAATGGGCATTTTTGATGGGACCAATATAAATATTGCTTATCTTGATGTCTGTATCAGCGGCTAATTCAAAACGCAAAGCCTCAAGAAACCCCTGGGTTATAATTTTAAGATTAGATGAATAAACTTTAGCATCGAAGTAATTGCTGGATTAGGTGTAGTACTGCAGAAACTCTAAAAATTTCTAGAAAGCTGTAGGTTCTCTAACATGCAATATTTGGCTTCTATAAATACGCATATTGCGCTTTTATTCTAAAATAAACAAATATGCCAGTTCAACCTACTTGTGTGGCTTTACTGCTAGCACTACAACTTGAGCTAAGCGGCATTCCTGTAAAAAAGCAGAATAAAGTGATCGCAAAGGCATTTATACATTCGTAATTCTGCGTATGAATAATTGTATATTAAGTCTTATGAAATTGGATGATAAGATTATCGAACTTGCGGATTTATATAGATTTATGCTTTCTTAATGTAATCAAATTTTATGCGGATTTATTTACTTTGTAATATCGTTGACGTTACATATCTTAAAGTAAAACTCGAGAAATTACAGCACAATCATCTACTAGAATTATATCATTCTATGGTTCTCAATGGATTCACTGTAATCTAAAAATAACTCGATTTCGCTGTTTCAAAACCTACCATTGTAAAAAATACTTTTTTAAACTCATCGCTATAAATGAATTTAATGAAACTGGTAATATACTGTATGTCATTAAGTTGGTATAGTACATTTATGATCACTTATTACCTCTTTTCCCCTCCAATCCACTAATGTAGATGATTTGGCCTTTGGCATTGGCTTTCATATCATTCATAATTACGGCTTTAATGAGGGAAATTGTACCCAAAGTGTTTAAATGTAAAGCAGAACGGTCCACTTCTAAGCTTGTATCCAACGCTAGAGCACACTGGCCACGACCAGCGCAATTGATTAGGATATCAATCTAGAGATAAAATGAATATTGTTTTACTCCAGATGATATTCAATAAAAGTTTGCTCCTCGTTCAGATTTCATCACAACTACAAGCGTATATACTATGCATATCATACAATTTATGTTACACAGTGCAGTGACGACTTCAGTAATGTGTAGCTAGTTTCCTAAATAAATTGTTATAAGTAACATGCAAAAATAAGCTATAAGGTTCACTATTTGCTTAGTTTTAGTCATTTAATAAGATTCACAGTAATCCTACGTATCAATAATACCAGTTACTGGATTACATATCATGTCAGAAAGTTTATTTAATGAGCTAAAGTAGATAATTGTGTATACAATGACGCATAGTATAAAGCTGCTCCAACCAATTTAAGCTTTACGGTAGAGCTTAATGCCAACTTAATATGGTAATGCTCGTGCACTATCTAATATTAGGTTAAATATGAATCATCCTAGATTTTTTGGGCGTCTAATGTATCAGTAATATCATTTAATAATCCTATATATACTCGTATTTAATGTATCTTTAATACTTTACATAATACCTCCGTGGCAAAGCAATACTTATAAAAAGAATTATGTATGACGTGCTCTCAAAATTTAAAATCGAACAATAAAAATCACCTTATCGAATTTCTGAGCAACACTCCAAGCTAAACCATCATGAGTTTCGTAGTCTCTCAGGTCCATGTGTACCACATATATGTCATCAGATTTCTGACCTAGTGCTACATAACATTAAAACTAAACTTAAAATAATGTATAAGCGTAGATACGATACTCTAGTTGATAATGTTGAGTTTTACTTAGACGGTACGTTTATCGCAAATATAAGTGATATTTAATAAACTCGAAATGGGACTGCTATCGCGCACTCAACCTTGCCTAGTACTATCAACTTGATGTATCCTACCAAATATATAACAAATACGTGAACTTATAAGTAGGTTTCATAGCTTACGAATATCCTCTAACTGATAACAAAGCTATTGCATGTTAAAATCTTGTCGTTCTTGTAAACATATATATACAGGTACAGTATCTATATACATAGGATCCGTATAGACTAAACTACTGTAAGTATATCAAGTATAATTTTGAGATAGCTGATGAAATTACCTATACATCGAGATTTTACTTTTTCTAGCTCCTCTCTTCTTCTTGAAGATAAGACAATTTTAGCTCCAAGGCGTTTTCGACAAATTAAATAAGCTAGATTTTCTCCGATACCGCTGCTAGCTCCTGTAATCCAAATTACCTTGCCGAATAAACTGGTTCTGAAACGTCCATACTTTTCGTACATTAAAATATTGAGATCAGCATCTGCCAGAAATAAACGAACCAATTGAACAATCGCAATTAAGATACTGCATAGTCCAATTTGATAAAGAATAGATGACAGCATGAATATTAAAAAGCTATTTGCTTGAATTGTGCTCAGAAGGCCTTCGATACTATAAGTAAGGTGTAGGCTCGGTAGATATTAGAATTTCGGGGCGTAATTGCTGCTAGCTTATAAAAACTCTCACAATTGCTCTATGTGTACTAGCTTGATCAATATAATTGTGTACAATAGTTCATTGAGAGCTACTGATAGGGTAACTTATTGTACGAATTTGCTGGATGAATAAGTAGAAACGTTGCCTGTCGAAGTTTAAGGAAGTCTTTTCTCTAGAGACTTCAGCCCTGACAACAATAACTATCTGCTACTGCTAGCTTGGATAATAAAATAGACTGAATTCTAAGTGTACTAATTCATATTAAAAATTGTACTTAAAGAGAGTACAGTACATATTGGCGAACTTCATTCAAATGTTTATTTATATTAAAGATAAATACAACGTGAATGACTAATATTGATAATGATGAATAAATTACGATCACTATCAAAAATCTTGATCTAAGACATAAGAGTAGTAAATCTTATATATGTATATGTATATAATGACAACATGTTTTAAATTAAAATTAATTAATTCATGGATAAAACATGTAAAGAGTGAGTGCTAGTACTGTAATTATAAGAGAGTATGCAATACTGCATTGTACGAGTATATTAGTTATGATCTTAGTCATACATGTTAATCAGTACTGTAACACATACAGTGGAGTCTAGTACATATTTCACGCTCTAATTGGATTATACTCATTAAAATCAATTTGTAAACTATATATACTTTTAACACGATGTAAATATAGACTGTATATTATTATTAAAAATACGTCATAATAGGAATACATTTATTATAAGAGTAGGTGCTCATACTTTAACAGTTAATCCTTTAATAAAAGAACTGTATCCCCGTTTTGATAATATCAATGTTGGCATCATACGTATGATATACAATCTAATTTTCGGTAAGTTCTCTTAAGTTAAGAGCTCTAATTAAAAGTTGTAAGCATATCTGGATACCTGTTCGTATATTTTGCAGTCGTTTTTAAACTGAATTTTGATCAACATTTGCTGAGATTCTTGTGAATTTTTTGCATCAATTTTTATTAACAATAAATAAAACGTTAGCTGGAGTCATCAGACGCTTAGTTAGCGAATAGATGATAACAAGCGTTGTCTTCACAAAAGAAATAAATCACTCATTGCTTACAGTAAATATATTAATAAATCTGTCAACTTAGTTCGATAATTTCTAATATTTTTACTTGCTCTATCTTGCTTGATAAGGCAAATATTATCGAACCTATTTAAAGAAGAGCCTTTGAATTGGTATTCTTTATATAAGTAGTTAAGAAACAGGTTTGATTTCTATAAATTTGTAAACATTACATTTATATATAGATATATATGTATATCCAGAAAGTAGCGATACGCTATTGTTAAAAGTTCGGCTGATAGCATCAAAATTGTATAAACTATAAAGAGTAATAAATTAATCGTATTGATACAAAACATGAAAGATTTAACTATGAGTAAATTAGTGTTGAACACATTACCATGCGTTTAACAGAAGAGCTTGACGTTAGCACTTATAAATAAAATAAAAGATTTTCGATGCGCGAGGTAAACTTGATACAGATGTAGTAATCAATATGTTTCAGCTTCTTATGCAATTAATTACAGGTTTACAGTCATTTATAGCTGAAATGAAAACTTAAGTCTATGAAGGTTGCAAACACGCAAGCTTAATAGGCTATCATCAGATAAAATTTGTAGCGTTGATTCCCGTCTAATCATGTTACTTCGATTAGATGTATTTAGCGCAAACTTTATATATGTATGCTATGACATGAGATTTACTTAACCAGCATAAAAATTTCAATAAGTAGCATTATTACATTACACTCGAAGGCTTAAAAAGGCCTAACAACCAAAGTAGCCAAATCCATTTAACGTGGCACGTATGTAATATACGTATATTAATTTTGTATGTGTGTATAATAGTAGTTATACTATAGGAGGGTGGGATTATTTAGGTATACTCATATCCGTCATGATAAAAATCTGTTATATTGATTACAATATGTCAATATCATCGAGCACGTACATTTTTAACGTAGACATTTCTAAACTTTGCGTTTTAATCAAATTTGGTTACGAGCTATTTGTAGAGCAAGCGACAGTTGACCAACAATTTAATTTGTTTTTAAGATAAGGTGGAAATGTTGCCGCTAGCAAGATCTGTTTCTGCTGACTGTCTCTCTGCTTCTAATTGCAAAGCATCGCTCGCATGTACGGCAATAGCAGTTAGCTCGGCTTGTTTTTCCTTTAATTCTTGTAGTCTTTCTATCTCCTCCTACCCAATACAGGATAAGATTAAAACTATGATAATTTTAAGAATTAACAAGATTTCATTTGGTGTCTACTCGTATGATATATAACTACATTAAAATGTGTTCAATGAACCGATACTAGTACATATTAAAATGGTTATTGGATATAGTGTAGTTTATTTATACCATTCGCTTTAGCCTTTCTACTTCGTCCAATACATATTGATATTTGGGAGTGGTTATTCCAAAAAACCAAGCGAAACGCCCGCCAAGATAATCTATAACTGTAGTAAAATACAGTGTCGAGGAATCAGCCAAAATATTAGTTATACTAGTACATCATTTCAAATGGGTTGTGTATACCGCTGAGTGTTCCAGACGCTAAGGATACAAGATACTGCCATAAGGAGATAAGCCATGTAGTCTCTTCATCGTTTCCCTATATCAATAAATTTATAAATGATAATCGATATTACTTGCCTACTCTAGCCTGAGTTTTAAGGTACAACATCCTATCGTATGTATGGATGATATCAATTGCATCTAGAAATGCATATGCAATCTTGTTAAAGCATCGTAGTTGTACCATTGGTAGTCCAGAGTACAGAGCTACAGATGGAAGAAATTATCGTTCAAATCGTCTACACTCTGCAGGTCAGTGTTTGATCGATTATTGGTATCAAGCTCGCTGTGCATTTAAGATGCAACATGGTGCAATCTCCCGTTGTCGATAAACAAATATATACATCCATCATTTCCAAAATTGCTCTATTCATCACTTACAATGACAGTGGTGTCTGTAGCCATTCCCCCATATTGCTCATCCGTTGGAGTTGATAATGGGACACTTTCGAATTTGGAACTTGACGGAGAAGCGTCGTTCTTTCTTTGTGGTTCAATCAACATTTCTTGATCGCCAGTACCACTTTCTACACTTGTATCATTCAAATTTAAATGCAAATTCTGGGAAGTTTCCATCGCTGCTAAATTTCCTGTCCTGTTTTGTATTATAGAAACTTGGGAGGGATCAATGATAGGCAAATGGAGCTTCCGTACTGTATATCTATATCAGCTGATTCCTAGTTTTACGATCAACCGTGGGTGCTAACGAATGACGTACTTTAACGGTATTTGACTGTAATGGAGATGAAGCGTTCAGTATTGAAATGCTCATACAGTCTTTGTTGCAAATTTACTTTAATAGGGATGATTAGGATAGTCAAGTATTAGAATCAATGTCGTTTGTAGAATTATAATGGTTGTACTATTAGCTTTCAAAGATATTTTGAAAGATTCCACCTTTTCAACACCAACTGTGGCGGAGTACACTACTAAATCATAGTAGACGACTAGGAGTCAACTAGTGCTGCTCGCTACCAATCCAATCGCAGACCAAGGGATGTGATGACTCACTAACTCATGACGTGATGACAACATGACGAACATGATGACGATTCACCACAGTGTCAATACAGTTGTCAGTACACCTCAATATGGATGAAGCGGAATGACGCTTGAATGTACTGTACAGTATATTGTGTACAAACAGTTTATTATTGTCTCATTGACGAGCAAGAGTAATGTCGTATTACCGAGGAAAAATAGAAATAAAATTCTATGGATACCGGTGACATCATAGTGACATTCTATTATACGCACGATTCTGTCAGTGAGTACTGTACACTGTACAGTATCGTACCGCTAAGTGTGAACGTGTGAACGTAAAACATTGACCAACTTGGTAAACAACAACGATCTCTTCCAGTCCATTCTCTCTCACACTGTACGCGTACTTAGTCTTCATTGAAAAAATAGTGGATTTAAAATTGGGTTACAAGTTGAATTAATTGCTGTTTCATAGTCGTCATCATTAATAACTAGGCTCAAAGTATATATTCACTTTGAGATAGAAGATCAATTAGATTGAAATTGGTCTACAATTGACAATTTTCACTACAATCCAACGCATACAACGATGGCTGACGTCAGTGAAATTAGTCCTCGCGATCAAGCAATGACTATCCAAGCTAAGAATCAGCAGCCTCCGGTAGTAACGCTGTTATCGAAATATCTCGATGGTGAATATCATCCATTAAAAGAGGATTTAAGGCAATTTATTCGCAACAATAAATTATTTAATATGGAGTAAGTCCAAAACCTTTTTATGTCTACTACCAACTTCATCTGACTAATTCATTCAATCATACGTACGCATAATTTACAGTAATGATATTTCTACGTATAGACGTTCTGTATAGTATAATATGGCATCCTACGCTACTATACTATAGTACTACTACTACCCCGCTAAAGGGGTCTTTGCAATCTCTTAACAAGTCTTCTTCAAGGTATAACCTATACAGTTATACTGTACTTGGTAACGTATGGCCAGTTAAAACCTATCGCTAATAATGAAATTTTAAAGTGAAAGTATGGACCAATTTTTAGTGCTTTTGTATACACATTATTCTACATCTTGTAATATTTACTTTATCGTTATAAAACATCGATCGAATAAGTTAGCAAGTACATACAGTACTTCACTCGTATACTGTACCTTCAATATACCTAAATGCGCGTACACCCATAATATACAATGACTATATCGCGCTTGAAATAGCGTCATCAATAATAATAATCTTTCGTATATTGCAGATACAGCAATTTAAACCTGCAGGAACAACGATATCTTGCCCACGAAAGAGCTAAAGCAATACTCAGGCATCCTAAATGTAAAAATCAACTTGATGAACAGGTACCAACATACTAGTAGAAGAACCATATTACTAAGCATTCCGTTTCCATGTACTTAATTAATTAGTAAAGTCCGGATTTACTCTAAATGAAGAAGCTTCTATACTGTAGTGAACATTTGTTATAATATCACACAGAATAGAAAGTCATGGTACTGTATTACTATATTTCTTGAATACTTATGTCATCAATATGATACGATATTTCCTCGTAGGTTAGAGGCAGTCTGGATTTTATGAAGAAAAATTTAATACTGGGTGAAGTATTTGCCTTTGTCGACCCTTCGACTAATGTCAAGGTATTAAACGGTGATTTTTATTAGTTCTATATTTATTTATCATAGCTTTGATCTTTACAGAATAACAGTATTCACCATAAAAGTATGATAAGAAAACTACGATATACTAGCAATGATAATGCTTGATTGATAAAGTAGTCGAACGGTATTGATTTCGTAAAGTACGCTAAAAAATTCACGTGATATTCGTTAACTTTTTAAGCTTGGTGTCATGGTGTTTCTTTTTGGAGGTGCTATTATCAACCTAGGTAGCGCGGCTCAAGTACAAAAGTGGCTCGGTCCTTTAAAGGTACATTAACATATCTTTGTGGCTAGGTCTTACCAACCGAATTTAAATTCCATTGGGTTACCTTACCTACATAGAATAGATGGAAATTATAATTCAGATTAAGCATATTGCTATACATTGTATATTTACATTATTATGGTATCTCTTTCGTAAATCCTATGATGATTCTAGTCGCTAACGGTACAATTGTACTTTAAGACCATATGTTGTAAAACACTGCAAATTTTAAATTCCTAGACTATCTTATTGATAATGCATTAATTAATAATAATCTCATTTCGCAAATGATGATAAGCAATTCTATATACAAATTAAGGTAACTATGCACACTAAATCTATTTTCGAAATCCTAACTTGCGTAGGACCTACAATATACTGGTATGTTTGCTATGACCGAACGTGGGCATGGCAGTAACGTCCGTTGTATAGAAACTGAAGCTACCTATAATATAGAGAATGAGGTAATTTTGACCTATACCATTATAATCAACTAGCTATGAATGTTGCATAACACATTTGCGTATGTCCATTTACGAAATTTCTTATCTATCTACTTTAACGTTGCTTTTATTAATAATGAACAATTTTAATGCAGGAATTTATCATCAATACACCGACAAGAAGCGCTCAGAAAATGTTTATTGGAAATGGATTACACGGAGAATATGCAATAGTTTTTGCTCAGCTGATACTTCATAATAAATCGAAAGGTTAATAATTTATCTTAAATCGTTATAATCGCAATGCGGCTATATAGTATGATTGCAAGGTAATAACTTCAAAATATCGTAAGGTCGAATAACTAAGTTTCAACTTTCATCAAGATATTGATATTGTCACCATTTCACTTTGTATTGCAAATTTGTTAGAAATGTTTGGTATACTTATTTTGCCACATCTTTGAAGTACGTTTGTATTTTGTCGAAAACTCTTTAGGTCCTCATGCATTCATTGTTCCCATTAGGAATGAGAATGGTCTATACCCGGGAGTAACTGTTGTTGATCTCGGATTGAAAGAAGGTTGTTACCAGAAACTTTTATCGTCAGCTATCCTGTTGCGTATTCGTATATATACAAGTTTTATGTTTACTTTCTTATTTACAATTTACAAATAATGAATTTATTAATGTACTATCAGCAAACCTCAATTGGCATATCTGTATTCTATTAAGTGCATCGATATGCTGCTGATTTTTTTATTTTAATCATGACGTAGCTAAAATGATATACCGAATATAAAGTCGTATAATTACATTCAAATACGATATTGCAAAGTGATAAGAAATATAACATGTTCCTGTAACTTATCAATATATCTAGGAATGAATGGCGTAGACAATTGTCTCCTTTCTTTTGATCACGTTCGGATTCCCCGAGAACATTTACTTAATAAGTAAATCCTATCTAGTTTAGATACTTTTGATGTTTGTCATTTTTGCTTTTAGTTTTTTATTGCGGAAGAATATATATATATATGTATTGATTGTAACTAATGATTAACCCCTTTTCGGCTTTGCTAATCAGATACGCTGATGTCCTTCCAAACGGTAGCTATGTCACTGATATCCTTAAAGATTCTACTCGTTTTAACATCATGTTAGCTGCTTTAATTGGTACTCGCTTAGCTGTTGCCAATCATTCTACTGCATGTATGAGTGTAAGTGTGAGATTGTATCTATTAGCTATTGATATGCCTAAACATAAGCATACAAAACTAAGAACTTTATATTTTATCGTTTGGTTTCGACATGGATTCGAACGCCATTATCTTACTTTCTTCAATTGATTAGACTGTACACCATGCTTACTTGATATTATATTACTTTGCAAGATAAAATTTTTTCATGTTAATTCAATAACTAGTTTGATAGATATTAAAATGTCAGTTATTCGAATTTTAGCTCTGTCAACTTAATGTAAAAATTGAAATAGGTAGCATTTCTAGATTTTATAAAATATCATAGCTAAATAGTATTTATTGTCACTGCACAGGTTGGATTAACAATTGCCATACGCTATGCTCATAGGTACAGTATTTATTTATAGATCGTAGTGATTACCAATTTAACTTCGTAAACCGTTATGATGTGACTAAATTTTATCTTGGTAAGCATAGTCGGCTGCAGTTTGGACCTAGCAATAAACAAGAAATGTCTATTATGTCCTATCAAACACACCAAATACGTTTGATGCCACTTCTTGCCAAGTACTTGTCATTGTACTTTACTGGCAGGTCTGTTCTTCTTTATGCTGATGCCAACTTTAACGTTCATTACGAAAATAGAAAAGATTTAATGTCATTTATTTTAGACAAGTCGCTTCCTTAGTCGATGATCATCAGACTAGTGGAGGTAGTATCGCTACGAATCGCGAAATTCAAGCACTTGCGTCTGGAATAAAAGCATATGCTTCTTGGGCTTGTGTTCAAACTATGCAAATTTGTCGCGAATGTACTGGAGGACAGGTTAAGAGAAGTAGTTAAGCTTAATATTTAATTTTGTACAAAAAGAGTACGCGTGCGGTAGATCAGTTGTAATGCAACAGTCGTATATACTATAATTAATATAGGGATATATGGCTGAGAATAGAATTGCCGGCCTGAAGGGTGACGTGGACGTTTTTGTAACCTATGAAGGCGATAATACTATATTGCTTCAGGTAATCAAACATGCAAGTTTCCGGCGTTTTGAATTTGCAGTGTTCTAAAATCTTAAATGCGCAAATTTTTCACTATTACAACACTTTAATGTAACAGTCGAATAGGTAATCTATAATACAGCAGTAAGAAGAAATTGTATGATCCAAAAATATCGTTATGCCATTTCCTCAATTTTTTTGTGGTAAATACTTTATATCAGCAAGTAGCCAAGGAACTCCTTGTCCAATATAGAAAAGAATATACGAAAGGCAAATTTTCCGGGATGTTATCATTCCTCACCAAAGCAATCGTTGTATCGCTCCAAACAAGGTTTTGAACATATTTTCTGAATTAAATTTTAGTATAGGACTGCTGTACAACTATATCATGGAATTAAAATTAATCTTGATATTTGTTTCATGCGTAAATGCAATTTACTGAAGTTTGTATCAAACTGTAGTTCCTTAATTCCACGGATGCATAGTATTACCAGCTATACATTTCAGACGAATGCTTTGGAGTTTAGGGAAGCAAGATTGTTACAGACATTAGCCTCTCGACTAGCGAATAAGGTTTTGAGCTTTTAATATCATGCTTTACAATTCATTACACTGTATACGATATCAACTAAATAGATTCTATCTTGAATCAATTCAGAGTTAATTAGTGCAATTATGATACTTTCTTAGGTACAGAAAAACGGCATGGACTCGTTCATGGCATGGAATGAATGTTTACATCATTTGAATGCGCTAGCTATGTCTCACGTTGAAAGGGGTATGCGTAGTTTGCATAATAATAATACAAAAATTTATTTCCTTTGATTATTTATCTGCATGCCATGTATTCAAGACATAATATGTCATAATTTTAGACCACGTGATAATGTTTAAGTAACAAAATGATTTAACGACGCATATACGTAGTGAACTTATTGTATATGTCTCAATGCTATTCCCACTGATATAATACGATCTTTTAATTTTAGTTTGTTACGAGCAGTTTGTAATAGCCGTAAAGCAATGTCCCTACCCTGGTCCACGATCCATACTTGCCAAGGTATTAAAGCGAGTTCTTAGATAATTTACGTGCCCCATTTACACTTAATCACGATACGAATTTGTCTGTCTAAGATGTAATTTGGTATATCTCTATCCATGAGTCAATTATGATATAATCTAACAAGCGTTTTATGTGATATTGATATAGTGTTGCAAGCTCTACGGACTAAACTGCATTTACAGTGATCGAGGGTGGTACTTAGAAGAATCTTTTATAAATGCTAAAATGGCAAAATGTATTAGAACTGAGGTAGAGAATACTATAAAAACCACATTTTATTACTGTTTTAATATATTTATTTCAGGATATAATCGTAGCTTGAGTGAACAATAAATGGCTCGTCTGCATAAATTATAAACAGTTATACACAGATACAGACGTTAATTTTATCATATTTCTCTACGCAACAAGGTATTGAAGCTATGTAAAGAAACTGCTGAATTTTCGTTGGAAATTGTAAATTCCTTAAGAATTCCTGATAACTGTATCCATGCACCTATCGCTGGCATCAGTCATGATAATACTTCTTGGCTTTTTGCTCCTGGTGCCGACAGCAATACGGACATAAGAATGAAATCGAAATTGTAGCATCGTGTAAAAGTTACAACGATCATTTCCAAAAAGTTGGATCATTACTTGCATAATTTACTGAGTTTTCTGATTAATTTATAATTCATTACATATTGTAAAATGTAACCTTTTATGCCAATTTCTTGAGTCATCCCAATAAGGTACAGCATGAAAATATATGCAGATTGAAGTGTAAAATTTAATATATTAAAGATCAAAAAAATTTATTATTAAATCAAATTTCACAGTCTTAATTGTAAGAAACTTTTAACCAGTTATCATGCAACATCAAACATTACTTTGATATATATTATCTTCGTTTGAAGGTATAACTAAACTTTGAGCATGTACGTGTATATTTAACTAATAACAAACCGTGATAACATACTCCGTATATTGGCGTACGAAACTTTCTCGTTATTATAATAATTCAGTATGACATGTTGATAAAATACATGTATGAATAGTATAAGAGTACTAACAATCGGGAAATAAGGAAATTCGATTAATTAATGTAGTATGATTATTCTATGATTGTAATATTACTCAGGATTTGCCATCTAACCGTCTATGAAAATGTACTAGTTTAATGTATACGTATTGTGATAATGAATATGTATTAAGATACGTTGTATAATTTTCTTGTATAGCTTTACCGTCTTGACTCAGTCGCTATATCCCTTGTAACGAATACATGATAGTAGATTAATCCCTTGCCGTGACTTCTTGTAATCATTATTATTATAACAAATTAATTGTCACGATTGCGAAGAGATATTATTTAATAACAATCATTATTGTTGATCGTACAGACAACTAACTATTAAGTTTAAACGATTCAATCATGTTAATAAACATTGTAATTTGCATAAGAATGGTAATTTTAATTCCGTGATCGGAAACAATTATAATTATCATTGTAGCCGTCAAGAATCAGTAACATTGAAATAATGTTTTAAGGGGCACATTAGAATTCATGTAGTAGGACTAAAGTAGTGTAATCAAATTTTCTGTCGTCACAATTAATCAAATAACTGACTCATTAGGTTATTGGAGGTAGTATTAATGAAATAATAGACCGCAATTATATAGCCACCGTTCTGAACTGACTAATGACGTATAGCATTTGTTGTCTATAGTCACTTTAAATAAAGTATCACGACACGGTACGGTGTCATACTTTATTCTTTTAAGTATATTCGCTTAATATTAGCAATAAAGACTTTATAACTAAATGAAGTGAAATATTAGCCAAAAAAGCTTAATATTGACAATACGTCGTCCTATGAAACTTAACAATAGATTGGATAGTTATAGTCGTAAAGATAGCTTATTAGATAGGTTCATTCATGTATGAAGAAGCCATACTACATGTAAAGCTTCCTGGCCTTGCATGCTAACCGTTATGCTAGAAATTTTTTACAGAACAACAAAAATATATTAATAGATTAATGAGCCGTTTATTTTAGTCATGCAGAAATTGCTCTATATTATTACTCCGGCAAACCGTGTATTCTACTGTATGGTCACGCAAATCGCTCAATTTATGTTTCTAGCTAAGCTACCGTTTATTTATAGTAGCTTATAATGCAGTAATATGCTTCAAGATGGAAGGTAGCACAAATTTAAGGAGGTTAAATTAATGCTAAATTACCGCAATAGCACTACGGTTTATCGAAGTGAATTTTTCATACCAAAGTTTCTTCTTTTAGTTCCAGATAACTAGAGATAGACGCAAGTTATCAGGTTGAATTTATCCTGAGCTAAAATTATACTCTTATACAAGTAAATGTTACAGTTTTTTAGCCTACTTTATTACATAAAGATAAAACCCTACCATGCAATCATATCATAATAACTTTGAGAAAGATCATGAACTAAAGGATAGACTAACATTTAGTTCAAAATTATTGTAGCTATTGACGGTTTTAACCTGTAAAATGTGACTGCGTACCGTTATTGCTACGATCGATCACATAAGTATATAGAATCTATAGATGTATAGAACTTAACATCTATCTATCGCAAAAGTCACCTCGTAATGTAAAGAAAAGTCGGGAACAATGTTGGAAACTGTATGGTAGAAATAAAAGCATGAATAGAGATAACTCGTTTGCATCTAAACTACTACTCTTGCATATAGAAGCAAGCAGATGTCAAAGTTTATGAATAGCATTGCAACCTATTTGAATATCACGATTTGATGATGTGACATTACATGTTAGCCGTAGATGTCGCCTTAAGCGTATGAACTTTACATTGAATAAAATTGATGATACAGAATTATTTTATTATCCAATCATAGCCCACAAGTTGAGAATATCTATTGACTTGGAATTGATTAAAGTGAATCAATCTAGTTAAATATATTACAAATATGTAATTGAAATAAGACAATGATATTGATATGGCATAATAACCTGAGGTGTGGCTACCAACTGATAAGGATAAAATTCAATAGATAGCCTGTTTTCTGATGCTAATTAATACATAACAACAGGTGCTAAGCAACAGACCGCATTTAAATAATATCCCTTTTCTTCGATTTATTGCGCACTTTTGTCAATAAATTATCATCATCTGAGATTGTTAATGCTATCTTCGACATCGTACGAAGGGACTAGGAACAATAATACTTTAAAATCAAGCATAATTGTTACTGAATTTTATCGCTAATAACCATCTATAGGTAAGTAAGAAATTCCTTTTATAACATTAATTTCTTATCAACTATAATAGTTAATCTAACTTTTAGTGGTTTGTTCTCGTTTTTACCCCTTGCTAAGCAGATTAATTGATTTTTCGCCTTCATAACTACAGTTAAGTAATAAACGCTGCATGGCATGGTAATGCTATAGTGTAGTATTATAGGGAGCGTTTTATATAACCTCTATATTGGCGTTTTTAATCACGGCTGCTTTTTTCAACTAAACTCTCGCAGTATCTTGATTCGATGAATAGGCTTAGTAAAATCAAGTTAGACTTAATAAAGTAATACGAATTCTCTTTTTATACATTATAAATATCTGCACATTGAATTTATAACCACTGCACACTGTATGATAATTTTTTAATCGACATTATAAACACTTCGTTATATGTAAGCACCGAAGTTGGTGTTTTATTACTGAAAGGTTAATTAGGATAGTTTACGGTAAGCATTCTTTACGTGCAATCATTTTTCTTTTATTTCATTCATTATTTTTCTTATTTCTTGAGTTGATTTTCTTACTTTATAATGTATTTTGCTTTGATAAGCTACCTTGAAGCTATCCATCCACGTCCGAAATGAGTAAGCACGTTTAATCAAACTTTTTCTTTTGGTAGGTTTTTTACTGCCGCAATCACGTTTATTGTATGCGTGCAGAGTGGTTGATCTTTAAACAAGCCTTTCGAACAAGCGTAACCATAAAATTAATCGACCTTATGCTGGAATTGTTTTAAGCGATCTTTTACTACTTGATATTGCGATCTCATCGCAGATAAACGATAGAAAAGCAGTTAAATTCGAAGACATTTAACAGCGCATTGCCCTATTTTAAAAAGTAAACAGCAGCGGTACTCCAGGTGATAACATTGGCCGCCCGCTGAAGTTAAGTGATACATCCTTAAGCACCAGCAAGACCAACCTTAATCGAAATTTGGGTTGTTACTACCCTTGATCATTGCTACGGTTTTCACTTTCTTATCCTATTACTATTGCTTGACAAGGAATTGTTATAACCTAAAAGCAGTTTTCTCGGACTAAAGGAAGAATTATTTTCTTATTTTTTCGGCAGCAATCGAGTTTTTTTGCTTTCTTATTTCCTGCCAGTTCCATGAGATTTTTTAGTTTAACTGACCACTTATAATCAAGACCTTGTTCTATAAAATTTCATTTAATAAGGATTAAATTAAAAAGAGATTATTAATCTACCACCAACTATCAAGTATAAACTTGAAACAGAGAATAAAGAAACAAGGAAGTTAGAACTCAGACAGTAAATAAGTTCAAAATGGCAGATCCCATGGACGTACTGAAACAATTAGATTCTGAATATAGCGAATCAAAGAATAAACTTATAATGCAATATTTAGCTGATCAAGAAGTTGAAGCAGAACGAACATTAGATCAACGAAAATCGCAAGATGGCAATGATAAAACCAAATTAAAGAATAGAATGCAAGTAAATAATGGACTCGATGCTTCCCATAAGACTATAGAGTTACACGAGGAAAATATCATTAATAGTAATAAAGAAAGTCCTCATCTTCCGGAATTGTCTCCGAATAAAATTAATGGCAAGCGTAAATCAATAACATCAAATAACACACCTGTAAATGGCCATAACGGAATTAACAACAGTAAAGATGAGAAGAATATCTTGCGTCAATCTAGTAGTTATCATGATCTACAGCAGTCAGTATTTTCCTATGATAATGAGCAACTTGCTTACCAGTATCATCCAACATCGTTGTCCTATGATCGGCGCTTAAGCACCGATGGTGTTCAGCTATCACTTCATGAAAGTTTAAACCGGAAAAGAAGCAGTTTAAATGGCCTCACTAGCAGTATTATTCATAACGGAAATCACAATCCAGCGTTGGATTACTTTCAACCAACAGGTTATAGACAGCGTGAAATTACTTCACCTACTGGCAGTAACCATCAAAATTCTTCAATGCAAAATCAAGGCAGCTTAGTCCGACGACCATGTAGTGTGTATCATTTACCACCGATTAATCACGATGATAATGCAAGTAATAATCATCAAAAAACAGTTAATTTACTGTAGGTCATAATGTTTATTGAATTAAGGGTGAAGAGTAATAAAATCAAGATACTTTTCCAAAGAAATATATATTGGCAAATTATTATTAATATTTGATTTCATCATGGCTTTATGCATTACTATAAAGTACAAATCATTCTGTTGAATATCGCATGTCCATATAAGTGATGTATGGCAGTCACGAAAGGCCATCAATAAATTCTATTAAACCAAACAATTTCGGTAATGAAAGGGATGAATGTTTAAGAAAAGATGATATTCAGTAAGAAAAGGTTGATATGGACGAAAGAGAAAATATTAATTCTATCCATTATATGATCCATTTTTTAGCTCACCTTTTGTACCAGCCTTTTCGGTCCAATAGCTACTAGAAGATTTCTACTTAATATGATACAGCTTAAATATCTGGTTCTAATCTAATACAGTATTTACTATGGGTAATATCATCTTGTAGATGATATTACAGTATCCTAGTAAATTCTAATATATCTATATTAATCATATTGCATAAATTTTATACTCATCTATGGAATACTACATAATAGTAATGGCAAAATCAGCTGCATAAGGTAAAATCGCTCATTTAAGTATACCAATTGCATTAATGCTCATTCCCGAATTGAACACATACGGGTGAACTTTCATCGATCATTCCTATGGATGCTTGTGCAATATCTAATAATGATTCGATATTGACAATGATTGTATCTATTTTCTGATTGGTTTTTTTACTTTAGCGCATATGATGAGGCTACCAGTATAACTAGTATACATACGTAATTAGTAAAATTCCAACGTAAATCTATAACACGATAATTATAAATAATTCATTCCTAGCAATGAGCCTATTTAGGGAGATTTATTTGTAAAAGTTTGCCAAGTTTAAAACTTTATAAAGCCTGAAATGGTCTCTCATGTATCGATGAATGAGATAAATATATCTTCATGCGTCTATCTATCTATCTATCTATATATATATATATATATATATATATATATACATATATATATTCATTAATACTTTCCTAAAAGGGTTTTGTGCGCACTATGCCATTGGTATGAGTTCTTTTTCATCCTTTTTCTACTACATACCGCATTTGTAAAGTTGGTATTTGATAAATACTGTCTTTTCTAATTATTTCGAAAATGTTGTAGCTATTTTAGCCTGATGGTCTTGGTGATTGTACAAAAGTAGCCTTTAAGTTGAAGCATTAACAGATAGTGTTAATCGTCGATTTTAAGTATTTGATTTTACTGGAAGTAAACGACAATTTATAAAGCTTTTAATGTAATATGAAAATCATGCTAATAATACAGTATAAAGGGAAATTTATCGTCTTAGAAATTCATTTAGTATGATCATAGTTGGGGATACGATCTTTATTTTTGAAATTCTTTCTCAAATTAATAATAATAAAAGTAAAGAAAATTTTTCTCTAGCTTTTTAGGCCATTTTGTACAGAATCAAATAGCAGTATTGTAAATCTCCTGCCTTAGTATCTTCCGGTGTTCATGCAGTAAATATCCGATGGTAGACTATGCAGTCAAGCTCGTACATTATGTCCGGGTAGTTCTCATAAATAATTCACTATATAAGATTTCAATTCCTTTCGTCTATTTATTAATTACACAATGTGGTCAATTCGTTACGATTAATATTTCGTGCGATAACTTAGACTTATCATTAAAATTATAATTACGTTGCGTTGTTAAATTATACATTAATAATTATAAGAAATCTTTATCGTACCCGAATAACATACGTGCATGAGCCTATATCATATTTGAAAGGGTATACTGTATTGATCTTTCATTCTGCAATAGCTCTAATTATTAACTCAACTATTAAAATCACGATGGTCGTAGTAACACGGTAGTAACCTAGAAATATTGTAGCTATCTAGGCAAAATATGAAATCATATTTCTAAGCAACAGATAGTAGTACAGTAGCAAGGTAGAGATGAATAAAAGTGTGAAAAGTTTAATCTTTTTAACTTTTCATTTAATTGACACTTTGACAGACAACCTGTTTAACATGGACATCGAGCCTGGAGTTCAATTTTGATGATGGGAAAAATAATTTATAATTATTGCGATCGCTTACTTTTCTATGCGAGTAATGTATATTTCGAATTTATTCGGAGGGTAGTTCTTCAACGCATACTGCACGTATATACAAACAGTTTTCCATTCCATATGTGTTTGTCCGCATAATCATGTGAGCATATGAATTATAAACTGACTTCAAGTTATCCTATTTCAGTAACTTTATACGACCAAATTTTGCGATTTGCAAGTCTAGTATGCAAGGCAAGGTATTACTCATTTTTTAGTCCTAGCATTAGGATTTCTATCCTATAGTACAATCTGCAAAGTAGAGGTAACATGATGGAGTAAAATTAATATAGACTAGTTGTTGGTATCCGTCTAGATTTGTACGTCTACTGTGCAAGATAAGGTATTATGCTCCTCTTTCTTTTAGTAGTCCTCTAGTGCTAGTATTAGAATTTCTATCGTTTAGTACTTTGCAAAGTAGAGGTAAGATGATGGAGTAAAGTTAATATGGACTAATTATTAATATGAGTATACTTCTACCCGTAGCAATATATATAATTGCTGTGGTTGCCTGACGTAATCTATAACTTTGTCCATAGATAGTGTTTCCTATTTACTCAAGATGATAATCATTGTATATATAAAAATAATGAATGTTGTAGCAATAATTTGGATAGCCTGGTTGCAGCTAGATAGTCCTTGGTAGTTCTAAGACGAACCTGGTTGATGCAATAAAGTAAAGTTGACAAGAAACTATAGTTCTACTACTGTTAATAACTATCAATTACTTATTTTGAAGATAATCATAACGATACACGAGTATAGGGAAGTAGAAACTGACTTGCCTTTTGATCACTATCTCTCATACTCTAAAACTCTATCAAAAGTCCCATTTTAAACTAAAATAGGATGGACATCAGGGACTTTTCATGATTATAGACTATATTAGAAGAGGAAATTCTCTCTTGAGAAGTCCCTAATGGACATTGAGCCCGTTAGTATGAAGTACGATGGGCCCAATCTACGATCCGGTCATACTGACTCATGTAATGAGTACAGCGCAGTACAAAATTGTGTTAACGTGACTACTGTCTGCGCTTCATAGTAGCGACTTAAGCGACCAGGTTGACTCCTAATACAGGGGTGCTAAGCCCATAGTGTTCCATAGAAGTGAGAGTGATGACAAGCTATGACCAATCAAGGGATTTTACTGTACAATACATGAGTAAAGAAAAGTAGAAACAGACTTACCTACGACCTCAATCCTCGATACTCTATCACTCCATCAAAATGCCATTCGAAAGCTAAGCCATAACCCTAATGTAGAACAACTCCTGCCAGATCGAAATTGCGCCAGATCATTTTCCATCTTAGCCTTGGACTACTATAGTATGCTGCAATGGCTGCAAAAGGGACTAATCGAGATCATAAGCGTAGAAATAATGATGTCCACAATCATAAAGATGGCAAGGAAAGAAGGTTTTATCGCTTAAGTCTTAGCACTATGAAGCAGTGGGCAGATCAGCTAGGCTTTGGAGAAGTGAATGATGAAGTTGCAGCATTGCTGTCGGAAGATGCTTCCTATCGTATACGCCATCTCATTCAGGTTGAACTTTCCCCCTCTTCATATTGACCATCCTGATTGGGCTTATTTCTTTACTTAGGATACCTATCAAGTATCAAATCCATGCTGTTTATAGTGATAAATACTGATAATGCAGTCGCTCTTAGCATGTATAGTATCATAATTAATTATCGATAAGAAAGGAGGGAATACTGTCCATGTGATTCAATTCAATTAATAGAGTGATAGTCTATTTCTAGGATATAATGGAATTCCAAGCCGAATGGAATCCATTGAATTAACTATATAGAAGCTTATGATATAGTCATATCATTTCAACAAGTCATCAGCATCGTCATCAACAGGAAGATGTGCTGGATGTTAGAAGACCATTTTCGTATTAGTGATCACGCTGGGCATTCTATAACTTACAAATGCGATTCATGATATCATGGCATCGTAAGAGTATTGCATATAGGGATACAGTAGTCGTAGTACGGTCGAGAAGTTATGAATAGAAACTGACTGGACTGCTTTGAACGATGTAGAATATATCCCTTGCCATATAACAGCAACATTCACCATCAGAAAGGTGTACTTGATGAAACGCATCATAATCATCAAGCATGGCATTCATCTTCAAAAATATTACCGTTATGATTGCTATTTCATAATAAAGGACTCATTATGGAGATGCTATACTGTAATATGTAGTTTACCTACTAAATGAATTATAGATAATCTCCAAATCTAATACCGACAACAAACTGAGCTATTGCAATCTCACAACGCCAAATATCACTCATCTTTTGTCTGTTGATATTATTCTAAATGAACTAAAATTTTTACTGCTTGCTATACTTGTAGAAGACAACATCAAATCTAACTATTGCAGTTGCTACCGAATTTTACAGTACAAGGTTTAAAAGTGATGATATTACGGATGATACAGTAATTGTATAGTTAGCGTTCACTATAATATCGATAATAGCTAATTTATTTCCAGGTGAAGTAATAACGCTTTCGTTTGATCTACAGTATAAGCGATAAAACCCATAGAATACGTTGTACGGTACAAAATATCGATGACCACCTCTTCCAATTTACTGTAGTCTTGACTGAATATATATATACAAAGTCAATTTACTTAATACTACTGAACAATCATCTACCTACTATATATACAGTTCTGGCTTAACAAAGTGGATATACTGCACAATTATAGTACCGTTACTGATTTACTTTGCGGGTAGATGTGTAGGATATACAAAATAAATCCGTCGTGTCAAATTACAAACATTAATATTTAGCCTTTCGTCTCTTCCCTAAAATTAGGTGGCTTCGGAAGTTATGATTCATTCTAAAAGAACGCGTATGATGACAGATGATGTCAATAAAGCTGCGAAATTATGTCGTTTAGAAGTAAATCCATACTTTGCCATTACATTATATGTGACGTTGTTACTTTTTTAACCTAATTTTTGGGCTTGAGCATATCGAGTCTGGATCAATATCAAGTCAATTAATAATTATCTATTTATGGTCTAAAATAGAGTATTTATGGAATCAATGGAACAGAAGCCGATCAGTTTAAATGTGTCACATTTAAAGATAGTAAAATATATTATTTGGACGATAAAGAAGTGAATTTACACAATTTAATCATGAATGACGAAATACCGAATGATCCTGGCCGAACGTCTGTACGAGGTAGATATTTGATTTTAAAAATTAAGAGATAAAAGATTGACGTAGTTTAACTAGTAACCTATTGAAAAAGTTGTTGCGTACCAAATTATATCAATACTGTTATAAGGCTATTCGTTTCTCTTTCAGCTCACTGGCTACCCATATCTGGTTCATTAAAACAAAATAGCATTAATTGGCAACAGTTGAACACAGTACGTTAAGTGTAACTTTTTAACTGATAAAATCTTGAAACGGAATTTTTAATACCTTAATAAAGAGTAACAATTTTAACCTTGCCATTTATTGTTGCTTTGTATACAAATTATTAGGCTAATAATACTTACCTTAAAGCAGTATTGCAAGGCTTAAAAAGTCAAGAACCGCAACTTGTTTTGGTATTCAAGCTCATATTTTGCTCTACGATCAGTAAACGATGCAGTATTTACATCAAGTGAAAACTTTAATACTTCTATCCATTAATTTCAGACCATCATGAATAATCTAAGAACCAATTCACACGTTACTGTTATTTTACCTTATGTACTGTACTACCTAATTTCATCGGTAAGTTAAATTTTTGATAGAAACTTCTTTAGATTTACAGTGTAGAATAACACATAATCTCTCGTAGGCACAATCACTAATATTTGTTATTTTATAGATAAAATCGCATACACATGTTGCTCGCTGTTTACAAAGTATACAATCAATTATTGAAAACAAATCTTTAACTCTACTCCCTTATGTAAGAAAGTTCTGGCTTATTAATAACTTAAATGTAGTAATTTAAGTAACAATTAATAGGTCGAAAATTTACAGGATTTACAACAGATTGTTCTATTTATATTATTTTGTGTTGATTAACTTTATTAATATGCTGGCTCTTTAAATAACAGCTTGTTCAATTAGTCTCCGTTTTAATGACATGTACTTTGGACGATCACCGCATGGCGAATTCATGGCATTTAAGAAATAAATCTGCAATGTTGCTAGCATTACTTGCTAGGTTTGTCAGATAAATAATCAAGTAGCTAAGACGTTGAGTTATGCAAACTACTTAAGCTAATTTTATTTCAGTAATACTGCAATACTACATTGACTAAAATATCTCTATTGTATAGGGAATATAAAAAATCATCACCGAACGTATGCAATAATATAACTAACAAATTGCGAGAGGTTCTAGCAAGCAACGACAAACCACGGTTTTCTCACTATGGAGCCATTGTAACATTGACTTATTTCGGGGGACAGGTTTAGTATTTTATGCAATTTTATTAGTATGTATTGTACTATTCTAGATGCGGTTTAACAAAAAATATTAATTAAGAGCATGGATACCTTTAATCCTTTAGATTAAGATACTGTTTACCTGAAAGAGTGAACTGATTACATACAATATCGATTTTATTAGGAATTGTGTATGACGCTACGTGCATATTTTTCGAGAAATTGGTATGTCTTGAATGAAATGCTGGAAAATTCTGCTGTTGAACTATCTATAAAATATGATATTCTACAGGTTAAGAGCGCCTTACAGGTAATATCAATCTAACTATATTCATCTGTTTGATTATAAAGAAATTATTACTAATAAAGTTAACATTTTCAAAATAGAACGCTGTTTGCGTCGTCATTAATGACATGGAAAAATATCTTCAAAATGAAGGAAATTTCAGTGTTGGTAATATTTATCACGAACTGTACAGCTATTGTGGAGATAGTTTAGCACCAGTAGCATCACACTCTTTAACCAATATGGAAAGCATTTCTTCTAAAAGTCATACAAATAGAATTTTCTGTCAATCTTGGCGTGAAAAAGTAAAAAGTTTTCAACCCAAAATTTTAGGGTTATGATGTACATGTACAGTAATTATATTGATTATACGTTTCTATTAAATTAAAGTAGGAAGGGTTCTCTTTTTCGTTGGTATATTAAGTTGTATATATTATGTATTAAATTTCTTCTGTTGCTAGACTAAACTTCCTAATATCTGTGCTTGTTGTCACTAGTTTCAATCAATTTTACGACCTCAACATACTGAAAGGAATGCGTTAAAACAATTATAATTTTATAATTATATAATTTAATATATAATAGTTAATGTAATTTTAAAGTTTATTAATTAATATATATGTTTTATGAAATAATATGTACAGTATATATATACAAGTATATACATATACGCGTATAACTGTTTCTACGTTTTACTCACTTCTTTCTATATACTACACCATGTAGCGTACTAAAGTACTTTGCGAATAGGTGATTTTCGTTAATGAAAGTTACAAATTTCAAATTCACTTCTATGTAATATCTGTACACAGTAGTATCAGATTAAGAAAGAACGGAAGTTTCCAGCTTTACTATTCTTTTCATTCGACACTGAAAATTGTGCTATAATTGAAATTGTTTTTCAGCTTTTCTGGTTGCTTTGTTACAATTAATAAAATTAAGGGGAAAGAACAGAAAACTGATCTTTCAAAACATTTTTGATGGATCAAACGAAGAGATGTAAGATCGGAAATACGCCCATAGTAAGGCTTAGAATACTATTTGTAATTTAAATCTAAACTCCCAATGAAAGTATTGCAAAAATTTTAAAAGTTACGACAAAATGTTACTTAAATCGATCCTACGATTTGATACATCGACTTTTCAAAGTAGATCTAAATTCAGTATTCTATCCAAGATACTACATATGAAAGTAAAGAGGTAATCTGGTCTTGACCTGTGGATATCTTAAGAGCTTTTACGTACAGTATATTATATTACTTTGTGCTCCAGTTGAAGGTATTGAAAACATTATTTCTTGAAGAATGGACTGATCTTAATCTATGATTAATTACAAATACGGTAGTCACTAGTCACCATTAAGGTATCGGATCAGATCCGACAGCTGTGGAGTTTAACGGAATTCCAACATTTATCAACATGACATGCATGATAATACACGTATGCTGCAGTTTTATTCATTCAATACTGCACAAAAACGCTTACAAAATAATTGTTATAATATTTCGTTACATTCTTCTAATCTACCGTAATCGCATGAATTAAGATATTTCACTTGATTTTAGCCCATATCGACTCATGTACATACAATAGAAAATTGATAATTTTCAAAAGTATTACATTATGGTCATAAATTTCGTTCATATGTTAAATGTAGAATAGCACCATGACAGGTGTACAACATTACTTTCCACCATGTTTACGTTTGTTGCGATTGCCTATACAGAAATTATCGATTTGAAAATTTTAATGTCTAAATTTCGAAACATTTTTAATATTCGATCTGATATACTATTGATCATTACAGCACGTCGTACCTGAACCCTTTCCAGATCTTCCTTGATTACCTTTATTCCCAGACCAGTTTTCATCATTCTGCGATTGTTGAACACGACGTCTATCTCGACTTTGTTCTCGCCAATCTGAAACGATCACTTATTAGTAAGATATCGCACTAGCAGATACTATCCATTTATATGATTAATCTCCTACAGAATACCTCTACCTTTATTTATCTGGTATCCATGCCTTTCATGTAAAATTTTCTCATTCGTATCGGCTAAGGCATATATCTATATAAGAATAAATGATTGCCAATACATGCTACTTAGTACTTCTACCAACGTGGTTAAATATGCTATCACATAAAATATTATATTCAGCTTACCTTATCGGCAATTTGAATAGCTAAGTTCTGTAATTTTGTTGGTTCACATTTATGCATCATTAAAGTTTCTGTCGGTTCATCCCATGATGCCTGGAAACCCAAATGATAATAATATAACACAACAGACACATTAAATATATTAAAAGTAATATAAACTGACCTGCAATTCGTCATTCATAATCATTTTACTGATAGTTCTGTAAACATCGGAAGATTCCATTCCGAACATTTCTGACAAGCTACTTAGGCTATTATCAAAAATAAAGAAAATTAGGTATTACTTCCGTTTATATCGACGCAACATTTGTAACATGATTTACCTTAGTGAACTATAAACTCCACCGTACGTAAATAAGTAAGTTCGAAGGCTCTCTTCACGGATCTTCCTAAAAAATTGAAATATTGAGACTGTTAGTGAAATCGTACATTCCATTTGAAATAAGAGGATAAAACATACTTTAGTAGCATCGCCTTAACAGTTTCAGGCTCCGTGAAAAGGTCCCAAACCTATAAATGATGTATAGATGGTAAAATAACTTGAGCAAAATAGTACTTTAAAATTCCTTAATAGCAATATATTTATGTTTCGCTAGTATGAACCTTAATTCTTAAGATATAATCACTACATGCTTTCCAATCACCAGTTCTCATAGCATGGGCGGCTGCTATTACTTGTTCTCTCATATTTTCTGGTGGTCCTATTATTATAAACACGATTTCATGTTAGCAAATAAATTATTGTGTTACAAAGCAGAAAAAGTAACGCAACTAATTCCCAAGTATAATTACCAACCGACAAGTGTCTGACGTTCGCTATTCCTTAGCTGAAAGTGAAAATTTTTGCTTATAAGCCTGCGGCGGTTATACTCATGAGCTGTAAATACAAGAGCACATTCGTGTTTCCACGTTATTATTTAGTATAATTACATAGTTATATCTAAATAGGCAGTATTACTAACCAGCCATATAAGGAATTTCCAGGAGCATAGCTGACGTAAGATAACAACATTCTATTAACTCTGTATTTATGTGCATATGAAATGGTATCTGGAAATAGAAGAAACTACCATGAGAACCTGCAATAGAGTGTCTAAATCCATTGATTATAAGTGTAATTAAGGTACCTGTCGTTGGCGCTCGAGCTTTTCTTGGTCTTTCGTTTTATCCGATTGACGTTGAGAAAAACCCTTTTCATGTGATTATAATTTTACAGTTAAAAAGGAACACCAGTACTTGGGTATTTACATATATATAATAAGCTAACCTGTGCCAATAACTCTCGAACACGATTTGTGACTTGTAACTCAACTAAACAGTTGTGAGCATTTTTAATAATTCCATGACGAAAAGCACACAAACCCAACTGTACCATAGTGCGATTATATAATACTTGCGTAGGTATATCTGAAAATTGAATTGATTCTTGCAAGTGTGACATTAGCATAAGATCTCTAGCATCAGTCCAACGATCATGTATGGCATGATGATACGTTTGACAAAGCATGGCTCGAGTACGAATTCTTTCTGTTTGATCTCTTTTGTAAATGTAGTTACATAGTCGTGCCATTTCTTCTTTAGAATTATTCGTGCCTTCCTCTTCTTCTTTGGGTTCACTTTTTTCTTCATCATCGTCATTATTTTCGCTCTTGGACGTTGTCTTGGCCAGTAAAGTATCATACTGCAAAGAAATTTATTTTAAACCGGTGACATATTAAATATTAATGAAATATGGTATCTATAGTAGTTTAGAATAATAGGCCATACTAACGTACCTTATAATACATATGCTCAATTCTTCGTAAATAGACTTTGCAAGTATCAGACGCAGGAAAGTTATTTTTCTCTACTAATTTCTGAGTTCTCTTAATAATTGCTGTAACGATACTTTCATCCTTCAATCTGCCAGAATTTTGTAATCAATCATTTATGGACAGTTAAGTAGGAATTTTTTTATCTTTACTACCCTTTACTGTCTATAAAGTAAGTTTAAATTGACGAAAAGCAAATATACCTCTGAACATATTCCAGAGAGTGTGCATCACATGATTGTAAAATCTTAGTAAATTCATCGTCCATTCTTTCCACCAAGGTAACTACACATCCTCGTACTTGGTATGGAAGATTCGGATCCTACATCAAATCATAAAGATTTAGATTTATTGCCCTTGAATAGGACAAGGCAACAATATAGAATCAGTCAGTTACGTACAATAATATTTTCAGATTCCTCTGGTATATTCATGCCAGTAGTAATCTCAGGATGATCTAACAGCATATCCACCAAAGTGACTATGAATTCGGTACACCTAATTATAAAAAAATATCAAGTAAGATAATCTATCTAAAACTTTTATCGAATATCGCATGCGGAGAACTAACATCTTCCAGTACTCTTGCTTCATGCTATTTACGAGGACAGCAACAGCACTATCGTAAATTGCTGATATCAATCCAACAAGTATCTTTACAGAGAGGGCAGTAGCTGCAAGAAAACGTAATCATAAATAAAGCAAATTCATCATCGTAAGATAGATGCTGGAACGTATAAGAAAGATGCTTACATAAATTTTCGCGCGATGTGATCTGTAATAATTCCTTGAAGGTGTTGATAACTTCACGACGATCCGTAGACTATAAAGTAGATTGGTAAGATAATAAATTGTTTTTATTCCAATCAACAATAGGGTTTCCGATCGCAAGAAATTTGATCAAATTTTTCTTTACCTTTTTCCCTCGGACAGCTACAATCTCCTGAACTTTAACCAGTACCGATTCATTTGTAATTTCTGCATCTTTTCCAAATAAGGCCTTGTCGGGAGATTTATCTTTTGATACTTTTGCTTCTTCCGCCGATAATTCGTTATCATCTTTCGGAGCTACTTGCTTCGATCCTTTTCCTTTCCTTCTTTTGCTATCTCTTGCTACGGTTCCGGCGGTGCTAACATTCAGAATAGTCGTTATAAGGTGAGTAATCATAAGAAATGGATAGGCAGTATCATTAGAGTATCGTCAACATCGCTACTATTACATAGAATTGCGCTTGTGAAATAGAAAGTGATCGCACTGACTATATTAACAAGCATTTATATATCGTATCGTATTAGCAAATTATATTTTGTCAATCAGAGTATAATTTACATTGACGTAGATTAACGACGAGGATAGCAGTAATTGATTCGAACAAGATTGAATTACTAAATGACTTATAGAGCGAAGGGTAATAACTAGAAGATGTCATCAATTAATCTCAATATTTTAACCGTTAATAATTAAATAAACTTACGACTTTAAGAAAATGCTAGGGCCTGTCGCCTTTGAACCACCACCACCTTCTTTATCAGACCCATCATCTTCATCTTCAGAAGCACTCCAGTCATCGCCATCACTCTCGCTTTCACTGCTGCCAGATTTCAAAAATTGGCTGCGACCAGTCGTATTTTCTGGCTTTTTTGTAAAGTCCATAACATCTCCATCATCCATATCTTCATCACTTTCATCTTCCTCTTCACCTGAAGTAATTATGTCCGTGAAGGTAAAAGAATGCCATTTAGTGTCTCTTTACATCAGTGAAGATGAAATAGTAATGCAAGCACTTAGTTTTTATTGTATATAGGGCTATATACCTGATACATTTGAATCTTCATCCACGTCGGGATTCTAAAACATTATTAAAGTAATAAGTATCTTTTAACTTTTAACGACATGTAAGTATAATATTGAGTTACTACAACGCTATAGGGGTTACCTCTCGATACGCAGCCATATCATTTTCAAAGTCGCGAACATACTTCTTCATTTTTTGACGCAATGCACCTAAAGCCTATGAATTACAATAAGTATTACTTGCGTTAGTAATATTATTTTATGCCATATCGTAGCAAAATCTTCTGTATGAGATGTTATCTACTGCTGGTATCGAAGAGATTTTCTTTACCTTTGCATTGATTTTACTTAGCTTTTTCTTAGTATCTTTATCATCCCATATCTATTTGAATATTAATAGCAACAGTAGCGATTTTAACAAGCACCATGGAATTCCCAGTTATCATTACAAAGTCAATGACGTTATTATCTTTTGCACTTTTTCATATAGCAATCTGTGATGTAGTTACCTCTTTAATATAGTCTTCCAATTCTACTAAGTACTTAACATAGAATTTAGGGATACCCGTTTTATCAATGATGTTCTTTGCCTTCTGATAGATTTTCCCAAGGAGTTCAAAATCTGTATGATTGAAAAGTTTAAAGTTTTATATTATTAGACAAAAAGTGATAAAGATAGCACGATGCGAACATGATAGTTAACCATAGAATAATCAACGAGAATTTATTTTAATGGTACAGTACAGTTAAATCTTTTTTATCTTGCCTGATAGCACTTTGGCAATGTCGTTAATTTTCTTATGGTTTTTAAGAGCTCTGATGGCATCTTTTAATTCATCAAATCTGTCGATATAAATTTTAGACTCGATATAACATTTTGACCGTATAAACAAAATAAAAAGTGCGCATTTCCCGATTGCTGTACAGGACTGAAAAATGCAACACCAGACATTGCATATCCTCTATCAGTCGTTAATAGGATCGATATCACGGAAGCACATAATACTACCACATTTCAGTAAGGTACTTTTTGTTATAGTATTCATTCATAAAAGCATACAGTATTATGAAAAAGATGTTTCTGATATATTTATAATTAATTACACTATCAACCTAGCTGTATCTGCTAATTACTGTTTTAATTTTAAAAGTCGATTCTACTACCATTCAATTCTATCTGTAATGTATTATCGCAAATATGCATAGCAATATGCCTAAATGTTGACCCATGATTATATGCAAAAGTAAAACACGAGCAGATTCTACGGTGTATCTTAGGTAAGATTATCTTACTAAAAGCGTGTAGCAAACAATCACAGTCATATCCCAACCGTTTATCCTTATGGCTTTTAACCACTCTTTTGACATCATCTTCATCATCGCTCTGGGCAAATAAGCTATAATAGGTCAAAAATTGAATCCAATATTAGCTACCATGTTTCTAGTAGTGTGTATTACCAGTTTTGAAAGAAATTAAAATAAGATTATCCATACAGTACAATCCATTGCTGATGTTTTAATTACTATTGTCGACATTGTACAATTGCTATCAAGTATTTTTTGTGCTGTAGTTTGATTCAGATTAGGACTACTTGGTCTAGAAAGGACGCCAATATGTGATATATTGAAGACGTTTTCGATTGAACTATTGGATGTATGGTAGTTGTCATCCATTGATTGGTAAGTCACTACTTCAAGATGTCCTCTATACGGATGAGATATGCAAATTGAATCTTGTAGCGGGCAGCTATTCTATCCTCAGAAGAGCCGTGGTGTAGCGAACTCATTGAAAATGGCAGGTGACAAATCATTGGATATGATTTAGGCAAATACAACACCTAATAGTCACGTTTTGTGGAAGTATTATGTCAATGTTCATCCAGTCTACTAGCAAGTGCCAATACGAGTGAACAAAGATGGAACTTAACAAGTTTTAATAGGACTATGATGATGATTTGGCCACTTGTGCGGCTAGAAAAGGCATCGAATGAGAAATACAAAGACACTGAAGGAAGCCACTAGGCAATGTATGACTTGAAGGAAAATGAGCAGATATCAAGTGTTTCAATTACTATATTAAGAACAAACTTGGTTGTAATTCGTTGTGGTGCTTGTTCCTCTTCTGATGATGTGGATTCAGAGTCAGAATCTGAACCACCAAAGAAACGAGACATGTTTGATCGATTTAACGTTAATGGAGAGCTGCAAATCGACCCAGAACTTGGCAAGTTGGGATAGGAAAAACGTAGTCCGACAACGTGAAAATTTTACACATGCGTATAAGTATTTCTCAGTCCCACGGCGGACCGTCGAGGTTCCGGTACCTGTAAGCCGTACAGTACGTACTATACTACTGTACTGTATGTACTGTAGAAGCATTTTCCTTGATGGAGTCTGAAGCCTTTCCGATCGGTAGTACTGTACTGTACACTGTACACTGTACACTGTACAGGATACTGTACTGTATCCCATTCAGTAGTACAGCGTACTATACTACACTTCGTTCAGTTCATCCCAGCGTATTGTACAGTATTGGAGTGGACAGGAGGGGCTGGTTTGCAACACTGCCCGCACGTGGCGCATGCTACTGCGTAATGCACAGTGCGCACTGTACAGTGTACAGTGTACAGTACAGTACAGTCGTGATGGCTGTAGTGTACTGTACACTATCCATCTTTGACTGTGCTGTAGATTTCCAGTAGTAACAGTATCGTATACTGTACACTGTACACTACTGGATCCCATAGACAGTACACTGAGTACAGTATAGTAGTAACAGTACTGTACCTTCTGCAAGGGTGAAGTTGTCAATTTAAACTGACTGATTCTACAGAATGCAATCGGTCTGATTTGATAAATAAAAATACTCGTTGATTTTGAAGTGATTGAAATACCAAGATACTTGTGAGCGGCACTACAGTTGGAGTTCATTACGAGTTAAGAGCGCCATGACATGTACTCGACTATACCATCGTCTTTGAGGACCGCTGGCCCGATTTGGACCGGACCAGACCATACCGTGCAAAACGGTACACTTATACTGTACTGTACAGTAATGTACTGTAGAGTAGAGTACTGTACGGTACTGTACTGTACAGTACAGTACAAACCAAACTCGCTACAGTACAGTACAGTACTTTCAGGGGGTGACCCCAGAGTACTGTACTGTACTGTACAGTGTACAGTACAGTACAGTACGGTACAAACCAAACTCGCTACAGTACGGTTTGTAAAGAGTGTACTGTACTGTACTGTACGGTACTGAAGAGAAAAGACACGGACAGCAGCAGCAGCGCTAAACGCCCCGTACAAAAATGTGCTCCTTGGAGTCTGGAAAGGGTCTCTACTGCGCATGATCTCTTCCAAGGGCGCTCAGTCACCAGTACCTGTACTGCGCAACACTTGGACTCAAATTATCCCGTACTGTACGTACTGCATAAATTGGCTCCATCGTACAGTACAGTACCGTACAGTGCTGTAATGCAAGTCTACTGTAGCTAGTTCCGTACATCACTGTCTGGCTGATAGAGATGAAAGAAAAACCGTTCCATCATCGAGGTGAAAAGCTTTTCTCCTCCTCATTTCCCACAATTCACCGCTGCAACGCATTACGACACCAGTCAGTCTGTGCAACGATTCATCATCCTTTTGGTGTGAGTGCAGGCTTTGGGGAGCGGCCATTTTTCAGGCAGTTTCGTCTACAAACCGATAATTCTATCCATATTGATCAAGATTTTGTTACTTCCACGCTATTAATACAACAGTAAGTATGATTTAACATAATACATGGGTACTTGACCAGTGGAAGGGTATTTTTCCCCCTCTTTTACGACATACAATTATCTGGCGTCTACGCTATTTCACTTCTCTATTTCATAACTTTTGACTTCGTCACGCAGACACACTGCTATAGTGTTGTACAGGATAGCTCTCCTACATATTTAGATACTTTTTAGCTATACTTTTACAGTATTGGCCAAGGTAGTTGATGGTAGCTCGATGATTCAGTACAAGACTAACTTTTCTTATTACTGTATCCACCAGATATCAACCAAATTAATGCTAAACTCTTTCTGTGCTTGCATTGGACCTCTTCTTTCCTCAAATACTCCATTTAAGTAATAAAGACTTCTTTTTTTTTCTCTTTCAGCCATCATGACGGACTCCAAATACTTCACCACTACTAAAAAAGGCAAGTAGCTACTGTGAATGATATATTCATTCATGCAAATAAACTTGCTCGATCGCTCTCGGTAGTACATAAATTGACAGGTTGATAGTCGAAATACCAACATTTTTAACCTGGAAATTCACTGCTATGCACATAATACGGCTCAACATGAGGGATACATCAGTTTAATTGTCTTTAAATATCTTGTATCTTATTATTTAAAGGTGAAATCTTTGAGCTCAAAGCGGAGCTAAACAGCGACAAAAAAGATAAAAAGAAGGAAGCTGTTAAGAAAGTAATTGCTAGCATGACTGTGGGAAAGGACGTGAGGTAAATCATGCGATATTGTAACTACTGTTTACGACCGCGCTTGCAATGACATTCAACCTGATCAGTTATTATCGGTACTTAACTAGCATCGTTTTTTTATATATTAAAGTATAGCTTAGTCCTTCCACTTTCATCATCATCAATGTTCCTACTTTAGCTTCTGTTACTGATTCAAAAGTGATAATATCTTACTATTGTTGCTGTACATGTCGTATTAACAGATTTGTATTTTTTTAATACATCAACGCTATTCAGCTCTCTATTCCCTGATGTTATCAATTGCATGCAAACCGAAAATTTAGAATTGAAAAAGTTGGTCTACTTGTACTTGATGAACTATGCTAAAACCCAACCTGATATGGCTATCCTAGCTGTCAATACCTTTGTCAAGGTTGACCTTGTCTTTAATGTCTATTCTATATAGTATATTATTGATAATATAGTAAATTACCAAAGGTAACACAATTGTACAATATGATATACCATTAGGATTGTGAAGATCCCAACCCACTTATTCGAGCTTTAGCTGTAAGAACGATGGGTTGTATTAGAGTGGATAAAATCACTGAATACTTATGTGAACCTTTAAGAAAATGCCTTAAAGATGAAGATCCATACGTTCGCAAAACAGCGGCTGTTTGCGTTGCTAAATTGCATGATATTAATTCCCAACTTGTTGAAGATCAGGGCTTCTTGGAAAGTCTCAGAGAAATACTATCAGATTCCAATCCAATGGTTTGTAACTGTTAATATAGAGCCATTTTTGAAGTAAAGCTGCATGCTTATTAGTACTAGTATTGGTGTAAGGTATGCTATTGAAGAATAATACTATTGACAGGTTGTTGCTAATGCTGTTGCCTCTTTGAGCGAGATTCACAAAACTTCTCCAAATCCAACTGGTGTATTTGATATGAATTCTGGAACTGTAAACAAGCTCTTGACTGCTTTAAATGAATGTACTGAGTAAGTTGTGATTAAGCCTGCTTTTGATATTGCCTATAAGTAATGGAAATCATTATAAGTTATCCCTTTAGCGTATGTTGTATATCTTTGACATACTCTATTTTTCTATAGATGGGGACAAATCTTTATATTAGATGCTATTGCAGAGTACCAACCAGTCAGTGACCGCGAAGCACAAAGGTTACTATTTTGCAGCATGCATTACTGTTATATGTAATTTTATTCTAGTGAAATTGTAAATACGTGCATGTTTTATATTGATGCTATCCCAATACTGAATTTTAAAAATATAGCATTGTCGAACGTGTAACACCACGTCTTTCTCATGCTAATGCTGCCGTAGTATTGTCCGCTGTAAAGGTAATGGACTTTACATCTTCTGATAATATCTCCTTATACGGCGAATTTATAATTTATCCACTTTATCATTGCATAGGTCTTGATGCAAATGATGGAAATTATAAAGAATGATCAAATTATTGACCAACTAAGCAGAAAGCTGGCACCGACATTAGGTACTAGTGGATTGAGCCTAAAACGTACTTTTGTTATTCAAGGGATTTTTTACTAAGAAGTGATCAAACTGTCTTGTTTTGGTTCAGTTACCTTGTTATCATCGGAACCTGAAATTCAGTATGTCTCCTTGAGAAATATTAACCTAATAGTTCAAAAACGGTGCGTATTTAGATTTAAGAATAATTATAATTAGTCTTATTGATGATGCAGCCATAATTTGCCTATTTCGTCTTTATTAGGCCGGAAATCTTAAGAAACGAAATAAAAGCTTTCTTCGTTAAATATAATGATCCAATTTATGTTAAACTGGAGAAACTTGATATTATGATTCGCTTATCGACTTCGAGTAACATTGCACAAGTATTAGCTGAATTGAAAGAGTACGTTATAAATAAATTGATCACTGATAATTAAATTACTTGCATAATACACATTGAAATTCTTTAATTGCATTACGTATCGTAACAAGTTGCTTTAGCCATGAGCCTTATAACAGCAGCATGTAATGCTATAGTTATAATCACTATTTAATGTAAATTTAATTATATTCAGATACGCAACCGAAGTTGATGTTGATTTTGTACGCAAATCTGTTCGTGCGATTGGTCGTTGTGCTATTAAAGTCGAGGTTTGTACATTTAATAATTCGATAAATGAGGTATCGAGAATGTACGCTAATGAATGGTATAATTTTTAAAATTAGCAAGCCGCAGAGAAATGCGTCAGCACATTGATTGACCTTATACAAACTAAAGTCAATTATGTAGTCCAAGAAGCTGTTGTAGTCATTCGGGTGAGTCTATACATATATATATGTTTCTATCACAGCAAAGGTCAATTACGACTTTACAGCATTATTCATACATTCCTTTACGTCTTGCACTTTAGGATATATTTCGCAAATATCCTAACAAATACGAAAGTATCATCTCTACACTTTGTGAAAATTTAGATTCCTTGGATGAGCCTGACGCAAAGTAAGAAATTAATGTGATTGAGTTGGTAGTAATTTTAGACATTGCCTCTAGTCATAATTTGTTTGCGACGGAAGTACTGCAGAGCAGAAACGTATATTCATGATGTTTCTGTTTTGATGTCTTCCAAGAGACTGCGCTTATCAGACAAGTGAAAATGTTAAACCAGTAATATTTCACCTCACGATGAGCATATATTGTTACTGAAGTAAAGATGGCATTCATTAGATTTAATGCTAGAACCTAGTACTAGATTTACACATTTATTGTACTGTAGGGCATCAATGATATGGATTGTTGGAGAGTATGCTGAGAGAATTGATAATGCTGATGAATTACTCCAGTCATTCTTGGACGGTTTCCACGATGAAACAACACAGGTATAAATGGATATAAAGTAATAAATGATCCTCTTGCTATGTTCTAATTCCTTATATTAAAATCTATAGGTACAACTACAGTTACTCACTGCCATTGTCAAGCTCTTTTTGAAGCGTCCAGCCGATACACAGGATCTTGTTCAGTCTGTTTTGAGTTTGGTCACGCAAGAAAGCGATAATCCTGATCTGCGTGATCGTGGCTATATTTACTGGCGTCTATTATCAACGGATCCAGCAGCTGCCAAAGTAAGATGAATTTATTAATTAATTTTCTCATTACGTTCTGACCATTACATTTACCTTTAATTGTAGGAAGTAGTATTAGCTGAAAAACCTTTAATTGCTGAAGAAACCGATTTATTGGAGCCTACGCTACTTGATGGTATTATTATTATTTATATATGTAAACTATACTACGTAATCATATAGTATAAGCGGCGCTCTATAATCAAACTATCTTACTGATTCTCATATTACTGTATTTCCTTATTTTAGAGTTAATGTGTCATATATCAACTTTGGCCTCTGTTTATCATAAGCCTCCTAGTTCTTTTGTTGAAGGAAACTCACCCATCAGAAAGCTTCCTATACCGCGTGAAAGGTACTTTGCATTTTTAGGTTAAATTGTTACTGTGAAGCTTATATTTGATGTAATTTGTTATTTATTTACAATAGCACTACCTCCTCAGATAACACTGATGCAGCTGAAAACCAAGTTCAAACACAACAACAACCTGCTGCTGCCGCCCCTGCTCAACCTACGGTAATTTCTACACCTCAAGAGTCTGCTGTAGCAATGGATCTATTAGGCGACTTAGCATCCTTTGACTCAACACCATCTACAACTGCCAACGACATGTACGCTCCAAATGTGCAACCTGCTGGTAGCAGTGTAATTGATCTGCTATCTGGTACCTTGGATTCATTACAAATGGGTGGCAATACAGCTGGAAATCAAAGTGGCGGTCTTAGTAGTCTTTCGGATATGTTTTCGACAGGGACTTCTACATTTTCTGAACCGAAAGTGGTTTGGCTATCTGCTGCTCAAGGCAAAGGCTTAGAGATTAGCGGAACATTTTCCCTCCGTCAAAATGTAGTCCATATGGATATGACTTTCACGAATAATGCAATGCAAGCGATGGGTGGATTCGCGATTCAATTTAACAAGAACAGGTTCCGTTTTAATTTTAAAACATTATTCCCCTCTTTTACAGTGAGATATTGCCATTTACTAATGATTCTTTTATATGAATAGTTTTGGTCTTGTCCCTGCAGCACAATTAGAAGTTAGATCACCATTGCCACCAAGACAAAGTGCTGATTCTTCACTTCAGTTGAAGCCTTGTACGTATACTACTTTCGATATTTGCTTTTATATTTACACATCATGATAAATACTAATATTTGTTTCTTATTTTGTGTGATTTAAAAAAGTGGGCGCTATCCTTAAAATGGATCCATTGAACAAACTTCAAATTGCCATTAAAAATAGCATTGATGTATTCTATTTTGATGTATTAATACCGTACCATGTATTATTTGTCGAGGATGGTAAGCTGGAAAGTAGGGAATTTCTCACGCAATGGAAGGAGATACCAAATAATAGCGAACGCTCTTTCGATATCAACAATGTACCAGCTTCATCAGGTTAAAGTTAGATAATTAAATTGTGATATACGTCGTAAACATAAAAAATTAATTGCGTGATTGTATAAATTCTTCCAGACGCGATCGAGAATAAACTTAAGATGAGCAATGTATTCACTGTTGCTAAACGTAATGTTGACGGACAAGTAAGTTATAGAACTTTTCTTAACTAGTAAAGATTTATGAAAAGCTTATCGACGTTAAATCTACAGTACTGAACATTAAAAGTATACTGCGATTATGATTAAGTTGTCTGACTGATGCCATATACGTTAAAAGTGTAATGATTGCTTAAATTTCTAATGTGACTTTTAAACTTTCAGAATATGCACTATATGTCATTGAAATTTACGAATAACATATTAGTGTTGGCTGAACTAAAGATCCAATCTGGAAATCCAACTTTGAAGGTATGTAGATGATTTGGATGTAAAATAAAACTAATTGTTAAATTAATTGATACGTAATTGACCACTTTTGTCTTTTTGTAGCTGGCCCTGAAGAGCTCAATTGCAGAAGTTCTCCCTGGAGTCTATCAGGCCTTTGAGTTAATTTTGCACAGCTAGATTAAAATTTACGTACTTTAAATTAGAAAAAATACCTGATAGCTTCGATTACAGTTATGTAAATGTTTTTACTGTAGACAACTTATTAGTGTCACCTCTGTTGGCCGAGACTGTTATTTCTCGCAGCTTCTGTATTTGACAACGCGTATAATGAATTGCTTAGTATTCTGACTCTATTGGTTGGTTACAGATATTTTTCCTACTAGTCAACTTTAAGATTTGTAATTCTGACGTAAAAGTACATTCGAGTAGCACTTGTGGTAAGCTAATGAAAAATAATATAATCTTATAAAGTCTGAAAATAAAGAAAACATGATAATATGTTAGTATGTACGTTTTTTCTTGTTCTAATTGCGCATTTATATTCGTACTATTAATTTGCAGCAGTATTTTATTTCAATTTATTTATGCATTTATGTAGCTCAACAGTAATTGTTGCAGATATTCAAGTGGTAATTGCATACGTATGAGTTTAGTACTGTATTTATCCCATCCTTATGTTTAGAATGCTCATACTGTTAATTGTTAATATAAGCAGTAAAAGAATGTTGCGATATGGTATAAACAGTATGAAAAAGGTAACGTGCGTCGTACATGATTCGATGGGTGGCATTGCTACGTTCTATCACACTGTACATTTCTGGTTTGTATACCCGTATGATTATAGAATTTAGCGTTCACTATTATAGTAATGTGAAATACGGTATGTATTTAATACCAGTCTACTTTACGTAGTGGTTTATTCTTTGCCATGAAGTGTAGTGCTAAGCTCCTAACGTGATAGTCTAATGCAGTTAGTCTACGATGGCGTCAATGGAAGACTTTATCCAGTAGTCTATGACGGTAGATACGCGTACTTGCTTACGATATACAGTATGCAGTAATATATTATTATAAACATGCGCAGTATTGGACATCTACGGAAAAATTATTTTATTTGATTATACTGTAAGTTACATGGCAATGGTGTGATTCTTTTTGAAGTATAGAAAACTATTATACAGTATATAAAACCTAGATAAGTTTTAGGTATAATCAGCACCCTTTAGTTTATAGTCTGGACATTAATATTTATTGTAGTTATGATAACTATAGAATTCGATCATAATGTTTCAGATACAGTTCAGGCAGTCCTATACATTGCACACGAGACTATACAGTATACACATGTTACAGCATTAATCGAAAGTAAAATTGACTACGATAGCTTGAAAGATCTCAATCGTATGTACAGTATACTTATCGTATTGTTACCATAGTGTTCATCCGATATATGGCCGATGATATAATACATTATATTTTTTTAGTATTAATATGATATTTTATTTCATAGTATTCTATTCAATTACGAGCTTTTATTCTATACTACCTATGCTTGAATAGGTGCTCGATACAATTGTTTGAATTGAACAATGTCCATGAGAGTTGCTATTGGTATCTTCGCGTTAGTAATCTTTAATACAGCGGGTAGGGAAGCACAATTTAACCTGGCAAACAATTGACATCAAAATAATGAGTATTGTTCATTATCTGCAGGTATCAACATAGCTTGAAAATTGTTATTTACTGCTTATGATCTTATTTTTATTATGACGTCTATATTATCCTAATTTTTATAATTTTAATATACAACGCGTCATATGATCGTAAGTGAATAAACTATTTGCAGTATCAACAAAGAGTCTTGTGTAATTTAGATATTATAGTGTACAAGAAAGAATAGTAACATAAATTTTTCCTTGAATCTAAACCAGTTTACCTATCAAATCTCGTTAAAGAACCGTTGATATTGCGTATAAGTCAGTATCAATGTCGCCATATCAATTGATCCTTAGGAAGCCGAAAAAAATTACTTAATTGTGGTCTATAAAAGTTAGGCCGACCCCCTGTAAAGTACAGTTAACAACATAGAGGCAACAAGCCTATCACCTGGTAACGTCGTCGTCATTACTTTTGTGACCAAATTTTATATCGAAATAAATTATCTACTTCAGATATGACTTCAACAAACATTATCTTCAAACTTGGTTAACGTTGGCAATTGGTTATAAGTCGAAGTTTATTTCATTTCATATTTGGTTACCACTCCTTTGGTATTTGTTACCAACGAAAGAAATGTCATAAGACCATTGTATGGGACTGAAATACTTTGTTATACATTTTGGAACAATTTGATATAAATATCGTTGTATTGGCTTATCCTTTTAAAAAATATATTTTAGTTTTAAAAGTGGATCGTATACTCTTAATCATTTTATTACTGGAATAAAGCTTTTATCACGATCTAAAAGATGATTTTATTCATGAATAATAGCAAATAGAGCAATTTACAACATTCTGACTATCTACAACTATACTATTAATATGGTTTAAATAACTTTTATTAAATGAGGTAGGCTGGATTTTTTTGTTATTTTTAACGATAGAATGGCAAGGGTACGAATCTAAACGTAATTAAAATCCTTCATTTGCTAATTGTAAGCTCTATATATTTGTAAGTTGGCAACCATATTCATTCAAAAACTATTCAAATCATCTTAAACATCGCCCAGACTCTTTCGAACAATGGCGTCCAGTAAAATAACATTGAAAAATGATAATAAGCGTGGTAAAGATGTCGGACTTGATCTTTATAGTTTTGCTTTACGAACTAGATTAATGAAAACCGAAGAAGCTATTGGTGTCATTAATGCAAGAGAAGAGAAAATATTGAGACAAGTGACAGACAGCATTGACAAATTAGCAAAGAAGTCGTTAGAAAAGTATCGTTTTGACTATAATGCAATATTGAAAATATCAGAAGAAAGCAGGCGTCGTAATCAAATATTCGCTGATAAATTACGCACATACAAAGAAGAAGAAGAGCGTGTAAGAGTTTTGAGGCAAGCAAAGAAGATGAAAGAGAAACGTCGCTTTTTAGATGATGATTATTTACATTTACAGGTGAATAAGTCAAATAATCATCACAATAATCATATAACGCATCCATATCAAGACAATCAAAACATCTTTCCACGTACACTCAAGTCGCATAGCAGTAGTTTTAAATTAGTTAATAATAACATTAGTAATGATTTTCGTAATTCTAATGGTCATTAAGATAACACTCGTTGGATCTACAATTTGTGATGACATAAATCATAGCATATAATACATTGCTAAGATTGAATTAATTTATCAAGTGTGATGCTAAGAAATTCCACCATTACAGCATCTATAAACATGCCGTGAAGAGAGATAATTCATTTTATATATTCAGTTTTTCTGTTTCTAATTTATTGTTGATTATTTTCTTTGATGGACCTTCGTATAATTGTACCAAAATAGGTTATCGTACTGTTACTAAAGTTTACATGATGACTATAACAGTCGAATAAGTTAATGATTATGATCAAAGCAAATTTTGGGGCGAAATATCTTCACCAAAGGCTTGTTATGTCTAAATCTGTTACGCTATGATAGCTTCGAAAGGTAATGTTAGGGATCCTTCTAAACCTAATATTTACTATCTTAAAAATTATATACATTCATCGCCGTCTCAATCTGTTTTATTTCTATGCAAATCTAAATTGCGAACTTACGATCAGTTAAAACTGCTCTAATTTAAAATATCAAATTTGCTGAGTTAAGCAGTAACAGTTATGCCAGTATGTGAGTATATGTACGCGAACTTGTATATAATTTTAATTAAGTCACATTTATTAAAAGGCTAACTGCTTAAGCGCTATCATATTATTATTTTCACCTTTAGCTCACATAGGCGGTGATAAATTCACTTTTAACTGTGATAATATGATTAGCGGTAACATTTTCTAGACTAAATCAAAGAAAACAAACAGGCAGCTGTCTTATGCAATACTGTTTACATCGATATCAATTATAATTATTAAATTTTTTAGTATTATGGCTATATTTGCAAGTCAATCACGAAGAAGAATTCTCTTAATTCGCTATCATGATTGAATGTATTATATCTGCTAGCTAATTTCGTTCTATTTTATTCATTTGACTTTAATGAAGATTTCATTTCAGTTTTATGAATAGACGCAATCAATTGTAGATTGTAAAATTCAAGCTGTTTTGATATCCTTACTTAAAAATGAAACGATCTGCGGTTATAAATCAATGATATATACGGTGCCTAATCTACGACATGTTTTAACTGACATAATTTTTAGTTCTACTTACATGACTAATTTTATTGTATTTAAAAGTATAAATGAATATAGCTTGAAGCCATTTTATGTCTTTTTAACGCTTTACGATCATGTTACTATCATGCATCTTGATATGCTGAAATTCGTTGTGATCTACTAATCATATTAAACTACTGTAGAAACTTTGCACTTTGTAGACATGAGTGTCCATTACCTTATGCTAAATTTTATAATTTGGTGAATTTCTCGTCGTTGAATAAACTAATCTCATATTATACAATTGATAAGAAAGTGTGCTTTACTTGAAGAGATTACGGTTAAACGTGATCAAGGGTAAATATCGTGCTAACTAGTCATTATGTTACAGCTTTCAAGTTTTTACTTCATAAGATGACAAATAGATTCGTGAAATAATTTACTTATTATTGGTCATTGTAAGAAATAACGTTGACAGTAGCTTGATATGCAGCCTCATCAAGACGTTGGGCTAAAGAAAATAAGAAATGTAGCTCTTGTCCATAACGTTTTCTAAACGGTATCAGTTTTAATTACTATCTTAAGTAATGTAATTGGAGTTTGACGTTGTAACGCAATGTCTTACTCTATTTTAACTCGCATTGACCAAATTAGTTAAGTATTTTTGCAAATTTGGTACAATTGATATTACAGACACTGTAAAAATTCTACTGATATAATTTTCAATATTAATCATTTAATTATATGATTAGAAATGAGATTGAGATTCAGTTTATGTGATATCGAAATTTAATTTAAGCTTCGTATAATATTCTACCACCATTTTAGCCAGCACGATTGCACACTCGTAGAAAGAGAGTCTTCTTAGCATTAAATTGATCTTTTTTATTTATAATCCATTTGTAACAAGATTAATGTTGTCATCATCGATAGGCTGTACGCTACATTACTACTATCAACGTTGAAGTATGTATAAATTGAAAGATATACTTTTCAGTTTTATTTAGCTACAAATTTTTTGAAATATTTATACTTAGTGGTTTAGTCAAAAAAATAAGTAAACACTTTAAATATGTCGAAAATGTACTTTTTGTGGCATACTTATTATATACCCTGCGAATGAATAAATGAAATGTGCAATTGATCTATTAATAATTCTGATCCTGATTAAGGTTGCTGTAACCCATTTAAGCGAGCAACGTTTTTATACCGTAGTATTTTATACGAGATATCCATTTCAAAAAGGAAATTAGTGAGGAAAACGATCGTTGCCAACTACAGTAGGCGTTATTACACTCCATACGCTGTCGCTTATCCTCGATTATACTGAATATTGTAATTATGATTAGGCAAAATTAACGATATGCCACTTTATGATTATAATGATCAGACTGGATTTGTATGAAATTCTGTCAACGAAAAAGTAGACGGGACAGAATTTGTCCCGCTTCATGGGCATTCCTTCACCATTTATGTACAGTAATGTTATTTTTGTATCCGATATTTTAGTAAAAGTATAAATTGAAATTTATTGCTAGATATTTGGATAACTACAGTATTCGCCCGTTGATTTTAGTTCCATTTTTCCCCAGTTAAAGTAAGTATTTAAAACCAAATGAAAGACGCTGTAACTACAGTACTGTACTGTACTGTAGAAGGCAGAAAATGTAGTTTCTAATACCATATATTATTATAGGCTACTGGAACGGATTCGCGAGTAGTTTTCTAAAGTATTTATATGAACTTTAGACTGAAGCTTTACGCAATTGGCACGATTTGATCTGATTCAAAATTCAGACCTTGAACATACTGTACACTAAAAAGAAAGTTCGGGCTATAAAGAGGCCGCCTGTTGGTGTCCGCAAAACTGTGTACGCTGACCGATCCTCTTTCTAGTCATTCCACTATACACTACTATGTATAGTGCAATCGTCTATCGTACGAAATAAAGCCATCCTAGCAGTTCATTTGCAAGACAACCTTGAATATCTTTGGATATCGGACAGTGAATCACTGATGAATAAAGTAGAAGTATTGAAGTGAAAATTGAACAGTTTTTTCAATGGAAAATTCAATCTTTCACAAGTTTCTTTCCCAACTTTCCCACATCACAGACTGCGCACCTCCATACTATAAGGTGCTATACTGCGCGTACAGTACTACACCGTCCATTGTACAGTATGCGCTATTTGTCATTCGTAAATGCAACCCAGGTTCAGGCATAAGGAGTCCGCTGACTTCCAGTTCACCTTACTACAGTACACAGTACTGTACTGTACTGTACTGTACTGTAGCCTTGTCCTGTAGTAAAGTACTGTACGGATTCGTCAGCTTTCAACGGATCGTTTCAGCTCATCGCTTCACTTCACTTTGGTTCCATAATAACGAAACAGATCGTTTCCGCTCATCGCTTCACTTCACTTTGGTTTCCATAATAACGAAACAGATCGTTTCAGCTCATCACCTCACTTCACTTTGGTTTCATAATAAGGAAACGGATCGTTTCAGCTCATCACCTCACTTCACTTTGGTTTCCATAATAACGAAACAGATCGTTTCAGCTCATCACCTCACTTCACTTTGGTTTCCATAATAACGAAACGGATCGTGTTGGGCCTTGCAGAACAAAATTTCTTGATTGCATTCTTGCTTATTTGCCTCAAGACGTTAAAGACAAATTCATCTTTAGATAATACTTATACAATAATAAGTCATATCGTTCCAAGGACTTCATAAGTTAAGCTTAGAGTATACGTACATTACTAGTCAATCGTCGTTATGGCAGATCCATTGATGCTCGCAACATTGATCGAACTAGGCTTCGATCGTTCTAAATCGTAAGTTTTCCATTGACAATCAACCAGTTATGCTAATGAAGCAAGAGTACACCAGTAGCATTAATTGGCATCATATGTCTATCATCGATAAACTATCTCGATCATATATCAACTTATTGATTGCTGTACCAATACTAATGAATTAATATACGTATAATAATTGACTAATGCAGTTGTTGAGCTCAATCTTATCAAGTTCCCTGCTACGATGATAGTGTCGATTGACGTGGATAAGCAATACCTGAAATGGACTAATGATAGTCAGTAGACAATATACGTCTTACTGATTATTCACCAACATCGAAATACAGTATTCTTGATCTCTATTGCAGATGCTACTGACAAGCTACTGTAGCACCTAAATCTTAGCATAGATAAAATATATATATCTTTGTTTAGAGATTGATAAATACCCAGCCAAATGAAAACGTGTCTTAGAGTCATCTAGATATGGAAGTTCGCCTGCCTATTTAGTTATCATTTGGTCACTTCATTATTTACTATCGTAATTCAAATTATATGCGTTATGGTATCGTTATGAAAAAGAAATGACATCCAATAGTTTTTATTCATTGCCAGTGTAAAATCGTATGAGTATGATTTGTGAATGGGATTTATCCTGTTTGCAGATTTGACAATTGTATATACTGTTATAGTACAGTAGTCATACTTTAAAGGTAGGGTTATACAGGAATGTACTTAATTATGCTAATCACATCGTAGAATAATATAAAAATTAGGTAGAAAAGCGATTTTCTATAGAAACGTATTTGCGCCGTATATCCGATGTGATCCCATACAGCCTAGGATGATTATACGTAATTATGATGGCAGTTTGAATATGAACTTTAAATTTATGTAATGGCTTCGGCTATAGCATACCATCAGAAAATTTTTGGAAAGCACATTTAATCGCCTAAAAGATAGCTGCCCTACTACAATACATATCTTTCCGTTTGGATTATAGTGTTAAATTTCTCTCAATGCGCTAATGCGTAGATATAACGTTTTGATCAGTAAATGTTTAAAATGATAATCTAATTGAAATTTGAAAGTATATTACTACCTAAGCCATAGACTTCTAGATACCTTGAGGTATCTAGAAGTCCATACCTTATCATACAGTAACCAGTAGAGATTGTACGCTCACTCATCCTCGTATTTATCTACGTACGAAAGCCACATGGAAAGCTTGCAAATATACATATATACCACTGTATAAATATAACGCAAACTGAATCATTTTAACTAGCATACTAATATCATATGAATTGCACTCCAAATTAAGACTAATAATATATAGAATATGTGTTAATACCGCCTATATCCTGCGTATTGCATAGATAAGCGTGCTATGGTACAGGTTACCTAAAAAAGATGCTTGCGCCATCATAAATCCAATCGACTCTATGATATACATATGCGTACAGTATAGCTATTGATTATATACTACAATGAAATACATTTTGTTTTAGCTTCATGTTTCTTGCCTAATATTATCTTGTCCTCTTTCATGTTAGTGAAAAAGCTCTAATAAATGTAAATAATCGCGGAATTGAAGGAGCGATCGATTGGTAAGATGCTAGAATATCGTATACTTCTCGTACATAACATATATAAAATATACAGTATACTACCGTTTCATGAAATTGAACTTACTGCTAGTTATTGTGTCCGTTACTTTGTACAAGTATACTGCTATAAAATATATTTATTAACAAAACGCTGGATTTGGTAGTTAATTCGCATCATATTTTGTAGTTACCATGATTAAATCGCTAGTATTATGCTGATGTCTCTTATTTCCGAATAGGATAATGGCTCATACAGACTCTAATGATCAATCTACAGATCCAACCGCAAGCGCGAATATGCAAAGTAATGTCACAGTATTAACAAGGATAAAGTGCCTACTTTATGAGCTTACAGAATTGAAATGTTTTTGAAGTTGATAGATACAGTATCGGGCTTTAACAGAATTTGGATTAAAATTTATTACTATAATGTATCACTATATTATTATCCTACAGTATATAGCGATATTATTCTTGAACTATTATCAACTACTTTAACGAGAGCTTTGCTACTAAAATGCTGACACCCTGGGGTTGACAATTAGCCATATTGTCTATCATTTGAATGTACAGTAGACTACTCTATAATCATTTTTAATAAGTATGTTGCATGATTTTTATGATAATTTGTAGGCCAGGAAGGTCAACCTAGCAGCGAAACGACTGTAAGGCAATATATAAATGCATAATTTATATTAGTCTAAATTATAATCAGGCTGTATTGCAGTATTTAAAATGAATGAAATCTACTGATTGCTTATTCGTATAATACCCGTGCAATATTATAGGCAGAAACCAATCGTCCGCTAACGGAAGAAGAAAAGAAAGAAAAGCTAGAGAAGTAGGAGATAATGCTTTAATCTACATTTAAATATTTATGTCGGAGAATGTTAATACCACATAATTTGGCATCTACAGTATTGTAAATCCCGAATTCACCTTTTATATCTTAGACTGGAATCTAAAATTAAGGAAAGACGTAGACTGCGAGAAGCTGAAGAACGTAAGGTAATCTTTGATTTGAATTATATAGGCAAATGCAAGGACTACTAGAAGAGAGTACATCGAAGGTTCTCTTCTAGTAATTTTTGGTAAATAAAGCAGAGTTGAGTTTGTAGAAACAATTATTCTGTCACGACTAATTATAGTATTAAACGCATACTATCTTAGTTTTTATATAACTATGAAAATTTGAATATCCGTTTTACGATGTTAATTATATTACCATAAATTGATAGCTTGAGAAAGATCAAGAAATAAGTCGTCGGGAATCTGGCAAAATGATTACAGATGTTAAAAGAAAGTATGCTTACATTAGGCATATAAATAGTAATTACAGAATCAATAAACAAAACTATAAATTTGTTGCTTTTTATTGAAAAATTTAGAGTTGAAATCAAAGAAATGCAAAAATTAGCAGAGCAAAGAAAGAGAGAAAAGATGGAAGATAGATTAGCAAGGTAAATAATCTCTATGTTGCTACCGTAGCTATTGCATTTACTTATGCTTATTATGTATTATGGATAATAATTATACTATATTTAATCCTATAAATGCCGAAGAAATGTTTCATATAATTTAAAAGTTAATAAGTACCTTTTGCCCGCATTAATTGTAATTGCGACTAAAATTCTTTCAGGGAAAAAGTGAAGGCTATGATCGCTGAAGATAGAGCAAGAGTAGGTTTAATCAATATCAAGCTGTTTTAGCTTATTTTGTAGACACGTAGCTGTAATTTAAGTGAGTGAATGATTCAATATATTAATGATGCAGGCAAAAGGCAAGCCTGACACAACTAACAGTGTTACTAGTCAGCAAACATCTACCAAAGTCGAATCTTCCACTGAATCAACTGTCAAAAAGGAATATACAAATTGTCGTATACAGGTTTTATAGTCGCTTTTTGATATTGTCTATATTAGTATCGTATAATATTTAATTTTATAAAACCCATTATAGTAAAGTTGCTACTGATTCCATTTTCTTTTTACTATAGGTTCGCCTGTCCAATGGATCAAATATTTCTGCAACCTTTGACGTAAATGATACGATTGCCACAGTTATGGATTTTGTGAGAAAAAACAGAACTGATGGTGACTGTCCGTTTAACCTAATGACAACATTTCCGCGTAAAGTTTACTCAGAAAACGACATGGACATGACAGTCAAAGATGCAGGTAACTTTTACTCATTTCGATTAAACTGTAAATTAATTATATATTATTGCTATGTAGCTTGTCTATATGAAACGTAATAAAGTATCCGTCCGAGAAATACTCGTGTTGCTACTTATGAAAGCTATTATTTGATATAAAAATTTCAATTTGTAACCCTAACTGTATTTTTATGCTTTTGCCAGGATTTGTTCCATCGATATCCTTGGTGTTAAGGAATATGTAATTCTTTCATCTTAAAGATATCACACTGTCGTGGATACGAACATAAAATGTATCATAAAGCCATGCCAGAGATAATTTACATTTTACATCACTTGTTAACTGATAGTGCAAGTTTTTCTACCGCTGAGTTTGGCAAGTTTTCATTTAATGGCAAAGTATAATTGTCCTAATTCGATAATATTTAGTACTGGATTGTTCATTATCCAGCAATTTGATTTCAAGAATTCATTCAAATATCATATAAGTGAACCTGCTGTATTGCCTGTGGTATAAGAAGCTATCATGAGATGTTTGATCAGCTTCTTATTGTAAATAAGCGTGTAGACTTGTCTTGATGCATAGTTGTAATTTTAATGAGATAAATACATTGATATCGTATAAGATGGTCGATACACTGTGCTATTAGTAGCTGACTAAGGCTATATTCCTGGTCAGTAAGATGCAGTCTTATTCAATTCACTATGCTGTGAAAAGACAAAAACGACACGAGATATATTTTGGATGCGCTATATCAACTTTATTTAACAGGTATATTTGATATGGTGTGAGGCAGTGAGTTATTGTCATGTGTTATAGAGAAGCTAGGCGTTAGAGGACTATAAGACATCTGCTTATTTTATCCACATAATTTTATATTTATACGTACATACGCATTACTATATCGTCGTTAACATCTACGTTTATAACTTGAAATCTCATCCATGGCAAAATTTCATAATTCATGCATTAATCCAATCACGATCCTACGATATAGCTCTCTTCGTGCCAACAATTTACCAATTATCGAGCTTGAAAATTAGGTTTAAAATGCAGTGATACACCTTGAATATCAATACTATTTCCATAAGAGGTGGTATCTAATATTGAAATTGTCATTATTTCATGGTAATTATTTAAATTAATGAAGAGACCTACATCAACATTTTTAGTTCGGCCAAATTGAAATGTCCTTAATTCTTACATTAATACAGTCATAATTATGAACAAATTTCCTCCTATGCCAAGAAGTATAGACATGACCAAATTCTACGATAGGACTATGTACTTGCACTGATATTCACTGTTCGTATAATTAAATTGAATGTTTTGACAGGTAGTAGTAGTGGCTTCTCCATGTTATTACTGCATAAGTAAATTCTGTTTAAGATAGCAAACTGATTTTTCTTTCGGCAAGACGAGTCTTGGATTGCTGTCGACAAGTCATACTTGTAAAGAAACCATCAAGAGGAGGGTGATGTCGGCACTTAACTAGATAGGATTTAAGAAATTTTATTTATGTAAGAAAACAAATCAAGGTTTATATTATTGACACGAAAGCAAACTAGCATCGAAGCTCCCTACTTGATAGTTAAAATTAGCAAATTTACTCCATGGTTGATTTAATTTGCATTCATTAGTCTATATCGTGATTAATATTTATTAATTGTATGATAGTAAATTAGCATTGAATTTCTCTATTCGATAGTTAACTTTAGCAAATTTTCTCCAAGATTGGTCTTAATTTCATCCGGTAGTCTATACCTTGATTAATGTCATTTGTAGATATAATATCCTTACTTGGGATATACAAGTATATTGTGTAATACGAAGGACGATATTTGCAGTATTTCCATATCATCCATCGTTGATTAACTTAACTGAACAATCTATTATATGCTCATTAAGACATTGACACTTGATGCGTACCAGTAGTATTCACCTTTTATCATTATAACATGGACAGTACATTTATTTCTCTGCCTATTTCAACTATTAATAAAGTAGAACTTAGCTAGTAATCGTTGTAGTTATATATATGTGCATGCACTGTATTCACCCGTTTTGACTTTAATATGTTACTTTAAAGTATCGCCTTGCTTGTAACATACTTTCTATTTACTTCCTTACTAATTTTAGTGATGATTTTATCCATCTGTTCCTTCAATATGTTGGTATAAAGTATCATCTCATTTCTAACATGCACCGTATTTTCTTTCTTATAAATTTCGCGATAGTTTTATGGATCATTTCTTTCAATATGTTATTATAAGTATCGTCAGATTTCTAACCCACGGTGTATTTACATTTCTATAGATCTTAACGTTGTTTACCCATTTTTTCTTTTAATATGTTGTCATTGAGTATCATCTTGCTTACTAGAAGATACAATAAAGAATTTGGATTCCTACTAATAACATTTTAATTACACACTCTATAACTTCACTATGACTCGTAGTATCTCCGCTTGACTTCTTTGCCAAGTAGAGTAGTAGCTTCGTTCATGGATATCAATACAATAGTTTTCATATTTATAATTGTGCTGATAGAATTTTAGTATAGATGTAGTTATCAGGCGACTATAAGATTATAAACAATCATGTTAATTTCGTATCTTTGCGGCTATATCACGTATAAAACAGAACTTATCAAATTCTACTATAGGGATGTAATATGTAAACAATTTACTGAAAGCAGCGTTAACTATCTTATAAATAGTGCTTTATAAAAGGCGTTCACGATCCACATTGAATAGCATGCATTTAAAATTGAAAAAAATTATTCTAACTAAACGAAATATAAAATTGGCTTCCATTGCATTATTATTAATCATTTTCATATCCCTGGGATAACTTAAAATAAATTTCAAGTGCAAGATGAGTAATATACTATTTTCTAGTTTTATATCATTCGATCATTTGACTTGCAATTGATGAATAAAAATAAGAATCACAAGAAGCTGTTAGAAAGATTAATTTTTATACTTGAATACCCAAATCGGCAAAGCTCGTTCCATGGACTAAGAAATTTTTATATCTATACGTACATATATAATTATGTCTTATTATTACTGATTTTAATTTTTCGTGCGAAATGACTTCCATGATATAAATTAAAATCTTTCTATTACTTAGAATTTATGAATGAAAGAGATTGGTAAGAATGGATAGCAAAAAATGAGCCAAGGCTTGAGAAGTAACGATAATAATTAAATTATCCTAGATTAAAAGTTTAAATCTATTTTCTCTCGATGTTGTGTCTAGGCGCAAGTGGTTATTAAACTGTGCGATTGGCTCTTCTCTTAGTAAGACGACAGGCTCATAATTGGCAAAAAATTGAATCATAACCGTGATGAAATAAACTTTAAAGTGAGTCAAATTGCATGAAATTAAAGTCAATTAGAGAACTTACTTTCTATGCATTGATAGATCGTTTCAACACCATCTTGAACTATCGATTTCTGCTTATGATTAGCTCCATCACATTCAATACTAGGGGCTGCATTAGACCAATTGATCATCAATCCGATAGCAAGGATGAAAATTGCCAATCTGGTCATGATAGTCGTATTATTTGTCCAATGATTTTAAACCAATTTCAACACAGATTTTTTCTGCTCTTCTTCTATCGTCAATCAGATAGATTTCAACTTTCAGCTGTCACAATTACAAATAATTATTTTGCTATCGTCGAGACTTTATTAAGGTGGGCAATAAAAATAATCAATAGACGCTTTAGGCGTGAGATCCAATATATCTGTGGTATATTGAATAAAAGACGATAAATAAAGACAATAACACTATAGTCAGTTTTGATTGGTAAATAGTCTTGGCAGGATATTAAGTTCTAGGTGCTATAGGATTCACTATTCCTCCATGAATTAAATATATTGTCTTAAATGGATAATATAGGCTCGATTGAAGAATACTTGGAATGCATAAGAGTGGTGAGATCAAGGTCATGCTATGTAACTAAAGAAAGAAAAGAAACAATTTAGAGGATTGTAAAATTTCCTTTTACATCGTTATTCATCAAATTGATCATCTTGGTAGTGAGAAATAATAATAATCGTCATGACTAAAAACAATAACAAGACTAAAAAATGGAATATTTCATTTTAGAAATGAAAATGAAACGATCGTTTTGGTAGTGAGAAATAATAACTGTTTTAATTAAAAATTAATAACAAAAGTAAATCAAAGCTGGATTGGAATGAACGATCATCGATCATACAGTTCGATAATAGTCTATTTTTATATTCATTAGATGATGGAATAAGTTATTAACTATAATAGTAGAAATATCTATGCTGTAAGTCGATTTTTAATTCATTGATACTATTGGCAACCACATAGAATTGTAAAATAATGGTATAATATTAGGCTAGATAGATCGACTATAATAGTTAGAAACTCTTTGGATATATATTCATGTTGATTGTGAATGAATAACCTGCCGTAATAGTGCATGGATACTATTGGCAATTATTGAATAAAAAGGATATCCAACCAGATAGATTGATTCATTAGGGATCCTATCAACTAGGTTCTGCTTTTCTTAGGTTATTGCTACTTTCTAGTAGCAACATGTTTGATAGATCAAAATTGATCAAGGCAAATAATTTATTCTCGTTCCAAATTGCATATTATGTAGCACAAGCGAACAACCAAAGATACCCTTTGATAGCAGACAGATATCAAAAATAACAATGACTGCTGTATTTTAAGTCTGTTTTTTTATGCCGGGCCCTTTCACGAAAAATAGCCTTATTATTTTTTATCTTTCCTTCCTTCCTATGCTATGCTATCGTTCGGTTGTTCTTGTTTTGAAATGACTTCAAATTATTCAATCTGTAGGTATTCTATTGCAAGTTAACTAAAATGTCAACTTCAAAAATAAACTTGTCATTAACTCATCCTTTGAAGATATTTATCGAAACAACTAAAAATCGTCAACAAAATATTATCTAAATGATACTATTTGTTATTTGTACCATTACGTCAGGGCTGGATGTTATTTTGTTGAAGGCCGGCAATAATAAAGCACTATTTATTCTGAGTCAGGTTTAGAAAGGAACTATAGAATAGGTAAAAAACATCTGCTTCCATTTGAATAAAATTATGATATCAATAGCCTAACTTTTCACTGGGTAATATGGGCGGTTGCTCTAATGGCGTGATCACCACTTAGAAACTGATTTAATATAAAATACTTCTCCATATTGTCTTCAAAAGGAGATTCTAC